CTTACTTCCTATGAGATCTTGGGCAAATCACACAGGCTTCTAGTTTCCTCATTTGTAAAATCAGGGATTTGTATTTCTTCTTGCTGAGATACCTTTCAACTTTAAATTTATGATACACTGACCTGTATGACCAAATTACAAACTCTCCCGTTTGGCATTTAAAGACTTTCTCAACCGGGCCCCAAACTATCTTTTCAGCACCATTATATGTTATTCCCCCTCCACTCATTCTCTAGCCCAACCAAACCAGCCTTGCTGCTCCTCACACATAGCTCTCTATCTCTCATCTCCAGACCTTTGCACGGGCTGTCCCCCATACCTGGAATGCATTCTCTCCTCACTTCCACGTCTCAGAATCTCCGGTTTTCTTTAAGGCTCCACTCAAGTGTCTCCTTCTGCACATGCCTTATCCCCTTAGCTGCTGGGGATTTCCCCCCAAAATCACCTTGTATCTATTTTGTACGTGCCTATTTATGTACATGATGTCTCCCCGATAGAATACAAACTGGAGGCAGGGGCTGTTTTCACTTTCGTCTTTTTATCTCTGGCACCTAACAATGCCTGGCACACAGGCACTTAATTAATTCTTCCTGACTAATTGATTGAAATAAGGATTTGTGGAACAACAATGAAATCAATAAGCTGATAAGTGTTTAATAGTTGTTTGCAAGCTGTTCCAAAGATGAAGTAGAAACCAGGAGACCAATGAACTGATGTTTTCCTTTCATCTCTTATTTTATGCAGTGGCTACTAGGTAGCGCAGTGGTTAGAGCACCAGTCCTAGAGTCAGGAGGACCTGAGTTCAAATCTGGTTTCAGCTACTTGTTAGCTGCGATTTAACTCTGTTTGCCTCATTTTCTCATCTGCAAAATGAGCTGAAGAAGGAAATGGAAAACCACTGCAGCATCTTTGCCAAGAAAACCCCAGAGAAAGTCAAGGAGGCTCAGATGTGACTCGACAACAACAACCATCTATTCTACCCCTCTCTTAGTTGCTGTGACCTAGTCAGCCAAGGAGCTGAGAAAGGACATAGGCTACTACTTCCAATAGCATCTTATGCCCAGTGACAGTGACATTGAGGGCATATTATTGACCTAAACTATCCACTTCTATCTCTTGTTCCTCTCAAGACCTGCATGAATGTATCTGGAGTGAAAAAGGAATGTCCAGCATGAATGCTCCCCCCTTAATAGGATTGTACCTGCAGCTGAACTTCGGTCCTCTTGACTTTCTTCTTTTTCTTTTTTAAAAAAAGTTTTTATCGGCAGAGCCAAGATGGTGGAGTGAAAGCAGTGACTTGCTTGAGCTCTCCCCCAAAGCCCTCCAAATACCTGTAAAAAATGGCTCTAAACAAATTCTAGAGCAGCAGAACCCACAAAAAGACAGAGTGAAACAAATTTCCAGCCCAAGACAACCTGGATGGTTGATTGGAAAGATCTATTGCACCTGGCTGGGAGAGGAACGCAGTTCAGCATGGGTGCACAGGCAAAGACCAGCCTCAGCAAACCAGGAGCAGCCCTCAGGGAACTGAATCACGAGCAGCTGTGGCCGTTTCCAGATTTCTCAACCTACAGATGCCAAAGACAATTTAGAAGGTCAGTAGAAAAATCTGTGACCATAGTGAGAGAGAAGCCCAGCCCCAATCCTGGTACAGCCCTGGGGCAGCAGCTACTTCTGGAGCTTTCAGCCCACAGACTAGGGGGGAATCGAGTGGCTGATCTCTTTGCTGGTGCTGAGACAGGATTCTCTTGCTTTGCTCATGATTGGATCTGGGTCACAGTTCTGGGTGGCGGTCCTGGGGCAAGAAGGAGAGCTGGTATGGTGGAGCTTGTGGCAGAGGTGAGGAGAAAATCCTCCTCACAGTTCCGAGGCAGAAAAGAATGCTTGTGGTCACTCATAGACCAGATTATAGACCAAGAAAGGAGTAAACACCTCGCTGTTGATCATAACACTTTGGAAAAACTAAAAATTTAAGGTCTCTAGAAATATCTCTGAAAACAGCTACACAAAACCCTCAAAGCTTGGAACAGTACATTCTCCACACTGGAAGCAGACCTGTACCTTAACAAAGAGTTTAAAACTCAAGGAATTGTGGGGCAGCTAGATGGTGCAGTGGATAAAGCCCCGGCCCTGGATTCAGGAGGACCTGAGTTCAAATCTGGCCTCAGACACATAACACTTACTAGCTGTGTGACCCTGGGCAAGTCACTTAACCCCACTGCCTAGCCAAAAAAAAAAAACCTCAAGCAATTGGCTGGGAACATGAGCAAACTATGCAAAAAAGTCAGACCATAGAATCTTTCTTCGGTGTCAAAGAAGATCAAAATATACAACCAGAAGAAGACAACCAAGTCAAAGCTCCTATATCCAAAGCCTCCAAGAAAAATATGAATCAGTCCCCGGCCATGGAAGAGCTCAAAAAGGATTTTGAGAAGCAAGTAAGAGAAGTAGAGGAAAAACTGGGAAGAGAAATGAGAGTGATGCAAGAAAATCATGAAAAACAAGTCAACAGCTTGCTAAAGGAGACCCAAAAAAAAATTGAAAAAAATAACACCTTAAAAATATTTTCTCCTTGATCTGGGAACTCTGGAATTTGGTTACGATATTCCTAGTAGTTTTCCTCTGGGGATCTCTTCCAGGAGGTGATTGGTGGATTCTTTCAATTTCTATTTTACCCTCTGGTTCTAGAATATCAGCACAATTTTCTTTGATAATTTCTTGAAAGATGATATCTAGGCTCTTTTTTTGGTCATGGCTTTTAGATAGTCCAATAATTTTTTAAATTATCTCTCCTGGATCTATTTTCCAAGTCAGTTTTTTTCCAATGAGATATTTCACATTGTCTTCTATTTTTTTCATTCTTTTGGTTTTGTTTTATGATGTCTTGATTTCTCATAGGCTTCCATTTGCTCTGTTCTAATTTTTAAGGAGGTATTTTCTTCAGTGAGCTTTTGGACTTCCTTTTCCATCTGGCCAATTCTGCTTGTTAAGGCATTCTTCTCATTGGCTTTTTGGAGCTCTTTTGCCATTTGGGTGTTATTTTCTTCAATATTTTTTGGAGAGAGAGAGAGGAAGAGAGAGAGAGAGAGAGAGAGAGAGAGAGAGAGAGAGAGAGAGAGAGAGACAGGAAGGAAGGAAGGAAGGAAGGAAGGAAGGAAGGAAGGAAGGAAGGAAGGAAGGAAGGAAGGAAGGAAGGAAGGAAGGAAGAGAAAGTAAAGAAAGAAATATGCTTTGATCTATATTCAGACTCCATCAGTTCTTTCTCTGGAGGTGGATAGTATTTTTCATCATAAGTCCCTTGGAATTGTCTTGACTCTCCTCTATAATGATCCTGGCATTATGCCTAGCTGTGGTTTGTGCACAAGTTCATTATCTTGCCCCTCACCTCTATCTTACATGCATAAGTAGACTGTACTATGTCTTAGAAAGTTACTAAGGGCTTGAACTCAGGGAATGTCTGTTCTGCTGAGGAAATTGAGTGTGTGTGTGTGTGCATGTGTCTTTAGACACAGAATGTATACGTATATGTATATATAACATGTATATGTGTGCATTTATATACACGTATGTAGATAGAGAGATTGACAGAAAGTGGAAGAAAGAGAAAAAATAAGAGAGGATGGAAGGAAGAGAGAGAGACAGAGAGAGAGACAGAGACAGAGAGACAGAGAGAGAGAAAGGAAGGAAGAGGGAAGAACAAGAGAAAGGTGAGGCTAAAGATAGATCAAGTGAAATGCAAGTTGATTGTGATTAGTTAATAGTAAACAGAAATAGGAATTTCAAAATATGAGGTGGAAAGGTAATATACCTTTTTCAAAATAAGATATCTTTATAATATTGATTTTCATCCTTGGTATTCACCATCTAGATATTTACTGCCCACAAGTTTGTTTGTTTGTTTGTTTGTTTTGGTCTGATTATCAACCTCATGTTTCTTCCCAAACTGGGTATGTATCAAATCTAAGTATGGCTTTAAAGGTGTTATTTTCAGTGTATACCAATATATTTTTTCTTTCAAAGAAATTTCATTCAGTGTTGGCCTAATTTCACTATTTAACCCTTCCTGTCCCCTGAAATTACATTGTGTTTATTCTGCATGTCCCTGTATATACATTGTTACCCTTCACCCCAGTAGAACATTAGCTCCTTGACAGCAGTGACTATTTCATTTTGTCTTTGTACATTCAGGATTGTAGCAAGTGTCTGGCATGTTATGGGTATTTAACTTGTTTGTTGATTGAAGCTTACTATGTTAGACCACTTAGGTGACTTGGTGGAGAGTGTGCTAGATTTGGAATAAGAAAGTCTTGAGTTCAAATCCTAACTCAGGCACTTAATAACTGACCTTGTGTAAGACAGAGAACCTTTTTCAGCCTCAATTTCTTCATTTATAATATGGAGATAATAATAGCACCCGACTCAGAAGGTTGTTGTGAGGCTCAAATAAGATAATATGCGTAAAGTACTTTGTAAACCTTAAAGTGCTAAATGTTAATATTAGTTGCGATTATTACAATTGGACAGCAAGGTGGCACAGTGGATGAAGCACCAGACCTGAAGTCAGGAAGATTCACCTTCCTGAGTTCAAATCCAACCTCACTTACTAGTTGTGTGACCCTGTGCAAGTCACTTAACCTTTTTTACCTCAGTTTCCTTATCTAAAATGAGCTGGAGAAGGAAATCGCAAACCACTGCAGCATTTTTACCAAGAAAACCCCAAAAGGGGTCACAAAGAGTCAGACATGACTGAAACAACTGCACAATAATTATTACAGTTAATAGCCATTGTTGTTGTTATAGATTTGGGGTCTCTTTTTATTCAGATCAAGATGGTGTTTGATTAAAAAGTTATGTAATGGAAATTGCAGTTGTTGAACACTGTATAGTAGTTTAGGCAAAGAAGTGGAGAATATCCTTTCCTATCATCTGCGAGGGATCAAAATGGTAGAGGGCTGCTGTCATAGCTTTGTAGCTCATACTCTTTCTTGCCTTCCCCACAGAAAGAGACGTACCCCCTGAGCCAACTCTCCAACCATCCATCATTGCTTCTATAGTGATAAGTATCTGCTTTTTCTTCATAGCCTTGATACTGTATCTGAAACGACACCACTGCCAGTGTAAGTACCATCTGATTCATGATCCCATTAACTTGCTTTGTACTGTGGAGACTGCAGCTTTCCCCTTTGGATAACTAAAAAGCTCTTATGCTCACTTTCTAATATTTAACTCCCATCTAAGATCTTGGGAACTGTTGATTTTTTAGAAAACATTTCTGATACCAACTAAAATTCCAACCCCAGATTTGGGAGGGGCAAATATTAGAGTATAGAGTTTGGGAGAATGGATCTCTTATTTAATGTAAATTCAGGAAAAGGTGCCATGGTGCAGTAGTGGATAGAGGGCTGTGTGACCTCAGACAAATCATTTAACCTCCAGTTATAAAAAAGTGAGTTTCCTACATTGATGAAATCACAGTCCCAGACCTTCTACCTTCATTCCTGCAAATGCTATAGAGGTTGAGGAAAATATAAGACTATTGAGAATTTTTATTATTTTCATTCCTTGGAAATGGATCTCTAAATAAGGAATTAGTGATGGTGAAGAAAAGGAGGGAGATTTATGATGTTATTTTTTGTAAATCAAAGTGTAGCTTTTGTGTAACCCAGGCCTTTCATTTTGACTCCCTCAAATGTAGACCAAGATTCAAGGTACTCTTTAGGTATGCATATATCTAAACCATGACCCACAGACCCACACCTAAAGTTTCCCTTTCATCAGACTAACCCAGAGGACATAGTAATTCAAAGTAAAGGCATTTGGTTGAGCAGGCTAATAAGGATATAACAAGGAAAGTATTTCCTCCTCTTCTCCTCCTCCTTCTTCATATATATATATATATATATATATATATATATATATATATATATATAGAGAGAGAGAGAGAGAGAGAGAGAGAGAGAGGAGAGAGAGAGAGAGAGAGAGAGAGAGAGAGAGAGGCATACTTTCGCAGAGTCACACTGCTAGTGGAAAAGGGAAGACTTAAAGCCTGGACAGCTCTTATTTCCAGTGCTGTGTCCAATCACTGCCTTGGAAGCTGCCATTGATTTCTTCCTTGAAGAACTTGTGCTGTCATCTGCTGGAATCTTGCTAAGCTGTCATTTCCTGCACTGCAGTCTTCTGTTTTTCCCTGGTTTGATTGTGGTGCTACTTCTCTGATGAGGTGCCTCTGCCATCTGCTGCTTCTCTGTTTAACTGAAGTTGCCAGGAGGCCTCCCCCCCTCCCCCCACCATGGGAAATGTTTATGGCTCTTTGGGGAGCCAATCTATAGCCTTTGGATTCCTCAACTCTCTTGTGAATTAAAGTCCCTCATCTCTCATCTCTCTTTTTCTCTATTCCACCTAACCCATAGTGAGAACTCTCCAAGGTCCACTTGACTTTTGGACTGATGTGAATAAATTTAGCTCCCATTGTGCCCCAAACCATGCAGAACACAATGAAGAACTTTGTCTTTCATTCCTGCTGCTAAACCCTTTACATTCTGCTCTCTTTTACATTTAGAGAACTGATCTAGACCATAGACTAACACTGGACTCTTTGCCACTCTTATCTCTTATCCCTTAAGCCCCACCAAGTGGAAAATAGATGCATTTCTTGGACAAAGTTGAAAGCCTGATTATCTGAAGTTATTGTGAAGACTTCTAGGGATAGTAATGAAGTGACAGCAAGCAAAGGAAATTTGAAGATGGAGTTATTTGTTATTTCTTGACCATAAAAGCGAATAATCAATAGCCAAGTCCCCGAAGAGGGGACCATGAAGAGCTTTTGGAAATAGTACTAGATTGAGAGTCAGAAGACTCATGTTCTTATATCTGTATAACTTTGGGCAAGTCATTTCTCCCATTTGAAGCTTACTCTCCAAGTGTGTAAAGTGAACCAGGTCACCTCCAAAGTCTCTTCCAGCTCTGACATTCTATAGTTCTATGAGAAAGGTTCATTGGAGAATATCTCCTGGGAAGAATCCACCTTACAGGCCAAATAAGGAGAGACTAGGTGGCTTCATAGGCCTTTCCAAGTTCTAATGTCTGAAGGAAGGCAACATGGTGTGGAAGATGACTGGATTTCGTGAATACACCTTGGAGTAAAATCCCAGCTCTTCTACTTGTTCCTTATGTAACTTTGGGCACGTCATTTCCCCTCAGTATTCTTGTCTGCAAAATGAGAGGATTAGACTAGAATCTTGTCACTAGATAAGCTTTAGACTCTCTTCCAGCTCCAAATCTATGCCCTCATGAAGGCTGAAAAAGTACACAGCCAAAATATGACTGAAATACATGTGTAATTTTTCTTCTAGTCTGTAAACAACCAGAGGCTGGCCTCTACTCTGTCCCCCAAGGACTCGCTGTGGCAGCCACAGAGGAAGAGGCAAATGACTTGGTGTTCCCACTAGCCAATGTTGAACGGGCTACAACATCTGGCAAGGCAGCCAGTGTGTGAAGGTAACCTAACAATCTCCCCTATCCCCCTCCCCTATCACCTGGAATCATCTGAGACAAGAAACTTAAGATCATACATTGCTTTCCATTTGCTTTCAGGATGAAATTTCAACTTGTCATGTTTGAAGGCCCTTTATCATCTAGCATACCTTTGCTTTAATCACCTCACTTTAGTCTCTTACTATTTCCCATCACCTCCAAAGAACAAAACTTCCTCATTTCTACTCTGTGGTTTTTTCATCTAAAATCAGCCACTCCTGAAAAGCCTTTCTTCTTCCTCTTTGGCAATCTGTGTTCCCTTCCTTCTCTTAAACTTTATTCCAAACTTGTCTTCAAGAAGCTTTCTTTAGGGCAGCTAGGTGGTGCAGTGGATACAGCACTAGCCCTGGAGTCAGGAGGACCTGAGTTCAAATTCAGCCTCAGACATTTGACACTATCTATGTGACCCTGGGCAAGTCATTTCACGCTGATTGCCTCACCAGAAAAAAAAAAAGCCTTCCTTGACCAACTTAAATTAACTCAAACTATACCTTTTCTTCTTATTTTAAATGTTTTATTGACTTTTCTTTTTTTAAACCGATAGCATTTCTCCATGACTCCTCCTCCACTGGTAGAACCTTCTCATAACAAATAAATAGTCAAATGAAACAAGATATTGTTCGTGTCTGAAAATGTATGCCTCATCCTGAACCTGTGGCCTGCCCTCTGACAAAGAGCAGAAGGCATGCTTCACCATGAGGGCCTCTGAAGTCATGATTGGACACTGCATTGATTAGAGTCATGAAGTTGGGGGGGGGGGTTATGTGATTAACTTTACATTATTGTGATCCTTGTACAAATTGTTCTCTTGCTTCTCCTTTCTTCACTCTTCCCAAGTTTCTTTGAATTCTTCATATTTGTCATTTCTTATAGAGTAATAATTTTCTGTTACATTAGTATTTAATGCAAAACTATCAAGCCATAAGATTGTTATCTACAATTTAAATTAATAATTATTTCATTTATTTTATTTATAAAATTTTACTTATTAAATTTAATTAAATTTATTAAATCATTCCTCAATTGATACCAACTTTCCTATTAAAAATTAGAGATAGAGATTAGAGAGACTTGTGATTTCATAGATACAGGGAACTCCTGAATAAAGAAACTCACTTTACCGATGGAAGTCAGCATTTTCTCTACAATTCATAGTCTCAGAGTTGTTTAAAACACTCAGAATTAATAAGGATTTTTCCAGAGTGGCATAGCCAATAGGGACAGCCACAGGCAGGACTTGAAGCAGGTCTTCCTAGCTCTGAGACCTGCTCTCGAGCCACTAAAACATATTAGCTATTATTTAAGCAGCTGTTACTGATATTTTTGTGCAGCACCTTTAGCACCTCACTCTCACATATGGGGCTCTCAGAATAGCAATCCTAGGTTCAAGGTTCTCTATGGATCTATATCCACTCAAAATGGTAGTTGATATATCCCTACCAGTGGGACTACATTACCTACAGTAACCCAAAAGACATAGGATTTTTTAAAAACATTAAATGAAGTATCATGGTAGGAATATTTTCAATGCAGCAGTCTCCTCATAAAAATAGAGGGGAAAGTGAGTGTGCATAGAGATCAAGTATGATATGAAGGAAAACGATGGGTTCACACCAGGTAACAACATGTGGGGGAGAGGGGGGGAGAGTCATACTTCCAAAATGGCAGGATATCATCTGGTTATGCTCGTGCTTCTTTCAGTAGGCGTGTGTTTCTACTGAACACATTGTTCTGCTTGGCTGGCTCCTTTTCAGGCATGATGACATCTCCTTTGGGCATGCTCCTCACTGGGCATGGGATTACTATTTTGCTGAGGCCTTCAGGAAGGTAGGATATAGTGGAAGGATATATTGACTAGAACCTATCCTAATAAGGGTAGGAAGGCTCTTCAGTCATAGTCATCAAACCCAGATAACAAAAGCCAGGCTGAGGGCCCCCAAGATAAGATTAAGTCTGTCCTTTTCAACCCCTATGTCTGAATCAGAGATCAAAGCTTTCAGTAGTAGATAACAACCTTACTTATGGTTAAATAGTCTTACATAGTTCCAAGATTTTCTCTGGTTTAGCTGAAAATGAATTTGAGCTAGAAAATGGTACCAGTATCCTTCACTCACATAATATACATTCCTGTCCCTAGTATTCATATTTGTCAAGAGGAAAGCCTAATTGTTTGTGTGTTGTATTTTTGGCCAGCAAAAAGCCTCATTCTCTCTACATTAGTTATACGTATGAGACTTTCCCTTCTGTTTTTCACCTCCTTGGATTATATGCCTAGTAGAGGTAAATCATAAGTACAATTTAGTGACTTTTTGGTACAACTCCAAATTGTTTCCAAGGATGATTGGACCATTTCCCAGTTCTATCAATAGTACATTAGCTTGCCTATCTTCCTACAGGTCCTCTCACGTTTGTAATTTTCACCTTTGATCATCTTTGGTAAGCTGAAGGGCATAAGGTGATACTTCAGAGTGGTTGTAATGCAGATTTCTTTTATTATTAGTGATTTGGAGCATTCTGATATATATTCCATTTCTTCTTTTGAAAATTGGCTATTCACATCCTTTGACCACTTATCTGTTGGGGAAAGGTTCTTATTCTTATATATTTATACCCATTCCCTATAACCACTGGATATCAGGGATACTTTTATCTGAAATATTTGGTGCAAAATTTTCCCATATTAATTGATTTTCCTATAAGTCTAGCTGCTTTGATTTTGTTTATACAAACACTTTTCTTTTTTTGTGAGGCAATTGAGGTTAAGTGACTTGACAGCTAGTGAGTGTTATGTGTCTGAGGCTGGATTTGAACTCAGGTCCTCCTGACTCTAAGGCTGGAACTTTATCCACTGCGCCACCTAGCTGCCCCCATACAAATACTTTTCAATCTGATATAATAAAAAGTGTCCATTTTATCTTTTACCTCTATACCTTGTTTTGTTACAGTTTTTCACTTTAGCCATTGTTATGTAAACTATTTTCTTTCATTCTCTTATAGTTCTTTGAAAAGATGAAGTTTATTGTGATATATACTATAGGATATTGGTCTAAACCTAATTATCATCAAATTGCTTTTCAGTGTTCTCAGTGAGTTTTGCCAAATAGTTAATTCTTACATAAGTAGTGTCATCTTTGGACTTATATAATAACAACTGACTGTGTTCCGTTACTTCTGGATTTTGCTTACCAAATTGCATCATCAACTTTTCTATTTTTAACCAATATTGACTCATTTTGATGATGCTTTATAGTATAGTTTGAGATTTAGTAATCCTATGTCCCTTTCTCCTATTTTCTCCCCGTGTTATCTATTGAAATAATGAGGGCAGCTAGGTAGCACAGTGGATAGAGCACCAGCCCTGAAGTCAGGAAGATTTGAGTTCAAACACATAACTCACTAGCTGTGTGACTCTGGGCATGTCACTTAAACCCATGCGACCTTGGGCAAGTCATTTAAGCCCAACTGCCTCAACAACAACAACAAAAAGAATGAATGAAATTTTGTCACTTCATGTGACTTTTGTTATTATCTCATTTACTCCTATTAAGTAATTTTTGGTAGTTTGGTTAATATGGCACTCAACCTATAAATTGATTTAGGTAACATCATTTTCATTATATTGGTGTGGTTCAACCGTGGACAATAAATATCTTTCTAATGATTTATATTCTTCTATTTCTATAAATTGTATTCAAGGGTGAGAGTCTTTGTAGGTTGACTCCCAGATACTTTATGCATGTTATAATTATTTGAATGCAATTCTTTTTTCCATTTCTTCTTACTAAGTTTTATTGGTAACATATAGAAAAGCTGTTGATTTTTGTGAGTTTGTTTTATATTCTGCTACTTTCATAGGATTTTAGATCTAGAGCCGGAAGGAACCTGACAAGCCATCCAGTCCAATCCCTTCATTTTACAGATGAGGAGACTAACACCCAAGATTACATAGAGAGTCAACATTGGACACAGTTTCTCTGACTGTTCCTCTGACTCCAGGGCTAGTGTTCTTTCCACTAACTGAAGTTGCTAATTATTTTAATTATTCTTTCTGCTGATTTTCTAGGATTCTCTAAATAGACCATCATATAAACGGCAATCAAATACCTACTCTTAGCCAAGCACCATGCTAGGTATTAAGGAAACAAAGACAAAAAACAAAAGAATCCAGTCTCAAGGAGCTTACACTGTGTGGGGGAGACAACATGCCTGTATTCAAGTACACACAAAACAAATATGTGAAGTACTACCCCTGCTGTATATGGACAGTTTATTTGCTGAAAGAGGCAGAACAAAAGGACAATTGTGTGAGAAAAGCAGCTTGGAACAGTTCCTAGGACTTGAGAGGAAACAATCCCTTAGAAAAATGTACTAAAAGGACCTGTTTTGAAAGAAGTTCAAAGTCAAGAGCAATGACTGATGTAAAGCTGACTTCAGCACATGGCTGTCTGCAGTTCATTTACATGTGCCTATTTTCAGGCTTTTGAAGGATATAGCTGAAAATCTAAACAACAGAAAATAGCTTGGGAGACTATGATTTGATAGAACTGTGAACACTATGTTTCTCAACCATGATTATAGGTGGGTCTCTCTCTATCCATGAAAAGTCCCTGATTCAAGACATTAGAAACCAGAGTGGAGAAGAGAAACAGGGATCTGAAGAAAAACTGAAACCTGAAGAAAGAAGATGATGACAGAGACAAAAGCAGAGAAATGAAGGAAGGAAGGAAGAAAGAAAGAAAGAAAGAAAGAAAGAAAGAAAGAAAGAAAGAAAGAAAGAAAGAAACAAAGAAAGAAGAAACAAAGAAAGAAAGAAAGAAAGAAACAAAGAAAGAAAGAAAGAAAGAAACAAAGAAAGAAAGAAGAAAAAGAAAGAAAAAGAAAAAAAGAAAGAAAGAAAGAAAGAAAGAAACAAAGAAACAAAGAGAAAGAAACAAAGAAAGAAACAAAGAAACAAAGAAACAAAGAAAGAAAGAAACAAAGAAAGAAAGAAAAGAAAGAAAGAAAGAAAGAAAGAAAGAAAGAAAGAAAGAAAGAAAGCAGAACAGAGGAGAATCTAAAGAGAAGAGTATCATTGGGATGAGTCAGCAGAGAGAGCTGACTGAAGTAGTCCAGAAGATTTCATAATTGATGGAGAGAGCTTATTGGAGTAGAACTCTATAACCGATAGAAGCTAGTTGGATAAAGCAAAATTTTCTTGCTCTATGAAGAAGCTGGCTGAGCTTGTATGCGACGCTCTTTAGCACCACCTAGAGTTTGAGAGCTGATTTAGCCACAGGCGAGCCCTGCATGTGAGGTAGGAGTTATTTTGGAGTACAGCTCTCTGGCTGCTGGAGAAAAAAGCCTGGACTTGTCTGAATTGCTCTTTAGCGCTATCTATATAGCTTGAGGGAGCTTCAGGGGGTTGAATGCATTGCTCTCTGTTGCCCTCTATGGTTTGAAAGGGAGAAACTCCTGAGAACCAAGAGAGCCCTAGATCTGAATTTTGCAGATCCCTAGCTTGAGAGAACAAAATTCTTGTCACTGAATTAACTTAATACTGCTTCAGTGCACAGACAAAGGAACTGGCCCTTGGCATAGGGCTGCTGTTTCAATTAAAGAATATGATGCTGCTGGCTGCTTCATTAAGAGTTTCAGTGGCCCAAGAACTGCAGAGGAGTGGATTCATCTTGCAGGAGATAAAGAATCTCAGGATGAGAAGTTGCTTCACAATATAGACAGCTCCCTAAATGAGACCACCGATATCCAGAACTGCAAACCGGAGTCTTGAGTTGCCCTAAACATGTGGGTTTCCCCACTCACATGCCTCACTTCTAGGTTTCTCTAAGTGTATGCTGAGTCTCCCTCATGGACACTGTGTTCATTGGTAGGAGAATGTGACTCAGGTTGATGAGTTGACTCATATTTTGATTATTCCTGCTTTTGCTTTCTATTGAGCAAATGTTATGATTATGCTTGGTTTCGCCTTCTGTTTTAGTAAATGTTTCATATTCAAGAGTCAAAGGTGTCATTGTGATTGATTTGTGCATATGAGAAGCACTGGGGTGAACAGTGAGGCCCTACAGTGACAAGAAGTAGAAGAGGATCCTGCCCACATTAGGGTTACCCCTTCTACTCTGAGAGTGAGTGGGAGTTACATGGCCCTTCTGGAAAATCACCCCAATGTGGTGAAGAGGGGACCAAAGGCATAAATGAGCCAGCACCAGCCCAGGGAGAGAGCCTGGAGAGAACTTAGGTAGGATTAGCAGTCATGTTACTATGGTAAGGACATTTGTAGCCTCAGCTCAGGCTATATAGCTTAGCAGAGATCACAGTCCAGCTGAGTTCTAGGTTTCCTCCTTTTTTATCTATTTTTTTTGGGTGAGGCATTTAGGGTTAAGTGACTTGCCCAGAGTCACACAGCTAGTAAGTGGCATGTATCGGAGGCCATATTTGAACTCAGGTCCTCCTGACTCCAGGGTTGGTGCTCTATCCACTGCACCACCTAGCTGCCCCCTACCCCTGCTTTTATTTTTGTTGTTTTTTGAAATTTGATTCTTTTTCTAACAAGCATTTGTTTTCTCTTTCCTACCACATAATCTTAAAAAAAAGTCCTTGTCACAAATATGCATAGTCAAGCAAAATAAATTGCTATTTTGGCCAGAAATGTATGTTTCTTTCTGCATCTTAAGTACATCACCTGTGAGGTAATCTGCTTTATCATCAGTCCCTCAGAATCGTGGTTGGACATGTATTGATCAAAGTTCTTAAGTCTCTCCAAGTTGTTTTGTCTTTACAATATTATTATTATTGTATAAATTGCTCTCCTGGTTCTGCTCACTTCAATGTATCAGTTTATCTAAGTCTTTCTAGATTTCTCCAAACCCGTCCCTTTTGTTATTTTTTACAGAAACAATGATATACTATTACATTCACATACCATAACTTGTTTCATCATTCACCAATTTATAGACAATTCTTTGCCACTTCAGCTAAGAGAACTGCTACATTTTTTTTTCACATTTTCCCCTCTTTTTGTGCAAAGGGAAGTTTACATGGCAAAGTTACTTTCCCAGGATCCTTAACAAGTTCAAAATAAGGACAACTATTGTTATCTAAATAGCAGAAGTAATGTCCGGAGGAGTCACCGTGGCTCAGTGCTGCTGATTCTGGGAGCAGCAGTGTGGTTAATGGTACAGTGGATGGTGTCATCTTCAAATATAACATTAACAGTAGCTTAGAGTATGACAACAGCTTTGTATTTTCAAAATACTTCCACGCATTCTGTCAGGTTTGATCATCACAAGATCTTCAGTGATGTAGGTAGCAGGGTGTCAGGCACACTAGAATTGACATCAAGCGACATCTGCCTAAAACACTTACTAACTTTATGCCTATGAGCATTTCTCTTAGCCTGTATTTCTTTCATTTGTAAAATGAGGATAATAATACCTGTGAGGATCAAATGGGATGACAAATTTAAAACACCTTATAAACTTAAAAGCTGTATGTAAATGTAAACCAATTTTAATTTATATATTTTGTTTTTGACATTGCACCCACTCAGCAAACCATCTCATGTTAAAAGAAAAAAAAACAGTTCAACAAAACTAACTATAGCGTTTTAGAAATTTCCTAGGGGCAGCTAGGTGGCGCAGTGGATAGAGCACTGGTCCTGAAGTCAGGAGGACCTGAGTTCAAATCCAGCCTCAGACCAAAACACTTGACACTTACTAGCTGTGTGACCCTGGGCAAGTCACTTAACCCCAATTGCCTAAAAGTTAAAAAAAATAGAGCACTTTAAAAAAGGGGGGGGCAGCTAGATGGCTCAGTGAATAGAGCTCTGGCCTTGCAGTCATGAGGACCTGAGTTCAAATCCAGCCTCAGACACTTAACACTTACTAGCTGTGTGACTGGGCAGGTCACTTAACCCCGATTGCCTCACCAAAAAAAAAAAAAAACTTCCTAATGATGCTGCAGACTCTCTATAAAGCCTTTCTATACTGATAATCCATTCAATTGGGAGCTTTTCCTCTTAACTCCTATAGCAGAGTTTGCCTGCTCTTATACATTATTTTGTACTGTTAGTGTTTACCAGTATATGTCTAGTTTTCCCAATTTGACTGTTAGTTCCTTAAACTAACATTAGCAAGAGTTAATGTCCTACATGCTTTTGATCCCCCATAGCACTTAGCACAGCATCTTTTTTAAATAAAATTTTATTAATGGCTTATTTTTACATCACCTATATTTCCCAATGTATTCCTCTAACTCCACCCTCCCAGAGAACCAACCCTTATAAGAATGACGAAGAAAAATAATGCAGCAAAACTAACCAACATATTGAAAAAGTCTTACATTATATGCAGCATCTCCCAGCTCTACAAAGAAATGGAGGGTAGCACAGTGTCTTAAATACAGTAGATGTTTGCTTAATATATATTTGATTGACTAAACAATAGAAGTTTTAAGTAGACTGTTACAGTAAATCCAAGGTGCAGAAGTAGTGAACAATAGCTGCTGAATGAGGCATTTATTTGCCTCATTTATGGCCAACCTGTTAATTTGCTTCACTTGACCATATTTATTTGTTATAAGGGATGGTTCTACTGAAGAATAGAATAATTGGGAAATAATAGTAACATAAAAAAATATTAAGACATTTTTAAAAGGAGAAATTTTTTTTTGGAATTTTCAATTCCATATTCTCTCCTTCACTCCTCTTCTTCCCCCATTAAGAAGGCAAGAAATATGATTTTTCCCCCCCGGCAATTAGGGTTAAGTGACTTGCCCAGGGTCACACAACTAGTAAGTGTCAAGTGTTTGGTCTAAGGCTGGATTTGAACTCCTGACTTCAGGGCTGGTGCTCTATCCAATGCACCACCTAGCTGCTCCCAAGAAATATGATTTTATATATATATATGTGTGTGTATGTGTATAGTCATGCCAAATATTAGCCATGTGAAAAAAAAAGAGCAAGAAAAAATATACTTCAGTTTGAACACAAAATTCATCAGTTCTGTCCCTAGAGGTGGACAGCATTTTGTTTTAATCATGAGCCCTTCGGAATTGTTGTGGATCATTCTATTGATCAGAGTTGCTACGTCTTTTACAGTTGATTATCATTACAATATTGCTATTACCATGTACAATATTCTTGTTCTATTTACTTCACTTTGCATGAATTTCACAGTTCGTGTAAGTCTTCCCAGGTTTTTCTGAAACCACCTGAAAAAGGTAAAATGAAAAAAAATTTAGCATTTTGTGTTCTCATTTTTCTTTGTCTTCTCAGGTCCCACCTGGCTTTTCTTCAGAATGTCTTGATGTCCATCCAGACTGTCCTCGCCCCTGCCCCAGGTTTATTTACTCTAATTCTTGGATGCCTCTCTACCTTCTCTCAGTGGCTTCTCAGCGGGAAGGAAATGGAAGAGGAAAGAAGCAGAAGAACTTCTGATAACTTTAACCAGCTGCATTTATTCTGGAATTTGTCAGAGCTAGAAAGAGCCTGGGACATCCTCTCTCATTTCACCCAGGGGACCTAGGAGAACCAGAGGTTCAAGGTTACATTAAGCAACACATCAGAGACCAGAACAAAGCTCCTTCCACTGGAGCCCGCTATCTCTCTGTCAGGGAAGTGAATTTCATTTGATCTGGTTTCTGAATTAAGCCCTGGGGAGATGTGTATATTGCTGCTAGGGAGACAAAATGCAGCATATGAGACTACATGTAAAAGATACTTTGCTTTGGGGGTGGGGGGTTAATCATGGAGACAGTTCCTTTTTCACTGTTCTCCTTTGCTGCTTTTCTTCTTTGTTTCAACTTTCCCCCCAGGGCCTAGGAAAAAGTGGCAGAATAGTCTCAAGCTCCTAAAATATTAAAGATCTTGTCAGAGTTAAGTGGCTGGAGAGGTCAAATGCAGTAGTCAGGATCAGGGCAGTTCCAGGAACCAAGTATTCTGACACACCTCTAGTTCATATTGGACTGATAGTTTTCCCTAAATGGCTTTAAGCTATATTTTAATTTGTTAATAAAACATTTTTTATGAAAGTTCTCATTCATGATGAACAATGAATTCAGGGTTATTATTATTTTTTAATATATGTGATTTTTTCTACATATGTAGTATGTTTAATAACATATCTTTGAGAGGAGATGTTAAGTATCAATGGTAGGAAGAAAATAGAGGTCAGATAGCAATAGCTTCATGGGAAACATTCTGAAGACTTCTCAGATCTCCATTTAAGCTTTTCACTGACCAAAACAGTCACTGTTGAAAGAAAAGGAAAGGGGCAGAAAGGGAGATTTTCTTTTTCAGTTTTTCTTAATTTTAGAACTAAAAAAGGGTGCTGTCCTTTACATGTTGCCTTACTTTAAGATTAGTTTTATTTTCCAACCTTATGAAAGCTTGACTCTAACAAAAGCAGTTCTTCCTAAGAAGCCACTCACTGTTCAAGGGTTCGCCCTTTAGGCATATGTAGACAGGTGAATGGGTATGTAAGGGTTGAGGTAAGAACTTTGTGCCTATGCCTCATTTTGTTCTTTAAAAAAAAAATTGGGCAAGAGAATCTGAGTTCAAATCCAGCCTCAGACCAAGCACTTGACACTTACTAGCTGTGTGACCCTGGGCAAGTCTTAATTTAACCCCGATTGCCTAAAAAAAAAAAATGGAAATGCCAGAATATATTCAGTTTTCTATTTGACCCCAAGCTCTTTTAACCAAAGCTCTTCCCCACCAAGTGGTCATGTCTAAGTATAGCTTAGACTAATGAACTAAAATATTTTGAAGCTACTCATTCTTTTATCTGGGTCCCACCATCTTAAAAAATAAACATAAAATACCCTTATTAAATTTTAATGTATACATATTTTAGACACAATTCTCAGTCTTTCCAACTTATTAACAGAATAGTCTTTCTCTTTGCAAATGGGAAATATTTCCCACTATTTCATGTTTGTACTGGACAAATTTTCTCAAATTTGAATTTTAAAATATATTTGCAGGGGCAGCTAGATGGTGCAGTGGATAGAGCTCGGGCCTTGGAATCAGGAGGACCTGAGTTCAAATCTGGCCTTAGACACTTGACACTTACTAGCTGTGTGACCTTGAGCTAGTCACTTAACCCCAATTGCCTTGCCAAAAAAAAAAAAATATATATATATATATGCATATATATGTATGTGTATATATGTATATGTGTATATATATATATATATATATATATATATTTACAGTAAACAACAAAACAACACTGTGAGGCAATGGAATAAAAAGGAAGGAAATATGTATTTATTAGGCACCCACTAGGTGCAAGGCACTGTACTAAGTGCTTTACAAATATTATCTCATTTGATCAGGTGAGATCAAATGTAAAGGGTTTAACACAATGCCTGTCACATGGTAAATGCTTAATAAATGCTAGCTATTTTTATTATTATTATTGTTATTATGTTATTCACCTTCATAATAATCCTGGAAGATAGGTGCTATTATCCCCATTTTACAGTTGAGGAAACTGAGGCAAACAGAAGTTAAGTGACTTTTCCAACATTATGTACCTAGTAAGTATTTAGGCTGGATTTGAACTCAGCCTTCCTGAGTCCAGGTCCAGGGCTGTATCCACTGTACCTTCTAGCTACCCCTATTTAAAAAATAAAGCTGAATAGTTATGGTGCAAGGTGGCCCAATTAGGTTCAAGGCAATTTATCTGCTCTAACTTGTGCAGTTTAACATTTTTAAATCAATGACACAGCATTACTAACATGCTCACAAGATTCATGGGTAACCTCAAGACAGGAGAGAAAACTAATGTATTAAATGTCAATCAGTATCCCAATAGAGTTGGCATCTCAACAGGCTGGAGCAATGGGTCAGATCTAGTAATATGAAATTTAATAAGGAGAAAAGCCCTCTTCTTTGCTTCAAAAAAATCAACTATACAAGTACAGGATAGAGGAGCTAGGGTTCATTTCAAAAGGACTGATTTTAAGAGACTCAAAATAAGTTGTTAGAGTAACATGGCAACTCGTTGGTCCATAGTCTTAGGTAGCTTTAAAAGAAGTAATATGTCCCAAACAAGGAAAGTAATCAATCATCCCTTTGGGTTCCTCTTGCCAGAATACATCATGAATATTGTAATCCATGGGATATTTTTGGAAGGACATTGACAAACTGGAGTATGTCAAAAGAAAATCAATTAGGATGGTCAGGGAAATTGAAATCATGTCTCATAATGGTTAAGTTGAAAAAAACCAGGGATATTAAGCCCAGGAAACAGAAGTTTTAGGGAGGATATGATAGTTATAGCTCCACTAATGAATTATTCTGATAACTCTTCACGGAAAGGAGATGACTTTGGATTCTCAATGGCTATGACAGCACAACAGTTAGGTTAGTTCCTACCAAGCCTAGGGATGGAGGATATGTCTGTCTATTGTCCAAGGACAGGCCTAAGGTCAGACAGGCTCATTAGGTTAGCCACCAAACAATAAAATTTTTCTGTCATGTAAACTTTCAAAGATCACCTACCACATTTCAGAGGTGCTGCAATCTGAATCAGTGAAGAGAAGTACCCACCCAGTAGACATTACAGATCCTTAAAGTATTAGAGTAGGATTGTTTGTCATGTGTTTGAATTACCAAAATATGAACTATGGGTGGAAGTTACTGGAAGGCAGGAATTCTTCCTTATATTGGGCTAAAACATAGACAATTAGTGTTGTCCAAGAATAGAATGAGCAGCTTATTAAGATAGTGAGTTCCCCATCTCTGAATATATCCAAAGACTGAGTGATGATTTGTCAGAAATGGTCAAGGATTCATGCTTCACTTAAGAATTTGAACTACGTGAAGGTCCTACACACCTGTAAAATTTGCTGATTGTGACCATCATTAACCCTAGGAAATGTAAATGCGTTTTAAAACTCAAAATTAAAAGGCTTTAAACTTTAAAAATGAAAAGGCTTTAACACTTTCTTAAGCTGAGATGGAACTAAAGTTTTCCATTTACAGAATGAGGAAGAATATTTACAGTTGACCTATATTCTGTGAATAGCCATTAGAAAATGAGTAGGGGTATTGTTAGGCATTAGGTTGTGATAAATATAACACAGGTACAATTTTACTGAGATGGACACTGTTTAGGGCTGTGGATGATGATTGATGATGATGATGATGATGGAAGAAAAAGGGGTCTTCAAAATCATAGTCTAAGACATTGTGAGAAATAACTGCTCCAGTTTTGATTTGTGAGGGATAGCTTTGTTTCAATGAGCTGGGATGTTCGTCCCAAGCTAGTAAAACATCTGACTCCCATGCCAAATAGAGTCACAGTTTGACCAGAGGAACTGGTTTGCTTTCCCTCCCCTTCCAATGTAGAGTGTCTCATCCTTGAAGGCTTGATGACATTTGGATACTATACTACCACCACAGTATCCAAATGTCATCAAGCCTTTACTGGTTGTGGTTGGTAATTAGGAAGCTAAATTTCCACAGTGGCTATAGCCTCCATAACCTCCATTTCCCACTCTCATCTCCTCTAGGGTTGGCACTTTATTTTCTATTACAGGCCCACTATCCTAATGATGACCCCGACTACAAATCTGGTTCTCCACTCCCTGACCTCCATAGTTTCAATGACCACTTTCACCAGGAAAGGAAAGATTTTTCTAAAGTTGCTTTGTTTTCTTACCTCATTCAAGAAATAGAAAATTGAGGTGGGGTGAGGGAGGGGATTGGGAAAGAATAGCAGATTTCTGGGTTTAAAAGAAATTCACATTCTAGAGGAAGTGAGGTAAGTCAAAGGACTAAAATTGTAATAGAAGTGCACATCTAGATATAATTCTTAATTCTTAGACTATATATGACATATGTATCTATATATAACTATATCAAATATTGAAATATCAATGAAAAGTAGAAAATAAAAGCATGAAATCATTTATCCTTTAAAGTGTTAGCAAAAGTTTTGTAACTTATCATGTGCTAAAGCAAGAAGTTTTTCCCTCTAATAAAACTGGCTAATTGAATGCATGAAATGATGACTAGATTGCCAGTAAATGGCCAATTGTAAACAACTTATGAATAATGGCATAATTCACCAAACCAAGCCTCTCCTTAGAAAGCATAGTTTTTAAAAAAATGCTACCTTTGCTGGCAGACAATTATAGAATGCAACCTTTTGATCTGTCTCACAGAAGACCTAGCAAACATTTTGACAGAAAGTAAAATGGTGCAAACTAATCTTCTTCTATCAAGCAATTCAACAAGCATTTATTAAGCAATTACCATGTGCTAGGCACTGGGGATACAAAGACCAAAGCCTGTAAGAAGCTTGCATTTAATGAAAGACATACGTACACATTGGTAGATACAGAATAAATACAAGGTAATCTAGGAAGGGATCAGAAAAGACTTCATATAGACAGTGGTGCTGGAGCTGAGTCATGAAGGAAGTAAAGGATTCTAAGATTTCCTCATTTATTTTGCTTTTATGATGGTGTAATTCTCACTTGGTACAAATTAAAATTCTGAATACACTCAGTCTTAGACCCCCTGCTTAGATGACAAGATCCTAATCCAATCAGTTGCCATGTTGTTGAGTTTGCCTCAACATCTCTTGCTTGTATGAAGGAATGAGGCATTTGTTCAGTATCTATCACGAGCAAAGCGCTGTGCTAAATGCTAGGGATACAGATAGAAAAACAGACAATCCCTTAGGATCCTGGATTGAGAACTTGAAGAGAACTTGGAGGCTAAGTCTGATCTTCTCATTCTATATGAGGAAACTGAGGCTCATCGGAGGGGAACTGGCTTTGTTTGGACCCCAAATCCTTCTCTCCACTCACACACCACCAGCCAAGTTCAGCCTCGTCACCTTACTGGTCTACTTCTAATTAGTCTCCCTACTTCCAGTCTTTCCCTTTTCTAATCCAGTTGCCAAAATAATCTTCCTACAGCACAGCCATGACCTTGACATTTCCCCACTAAGAAACCTTCAATGACTCCCATCTGATTTTAGGATAAAATACAAATTCCATAAGCCTAGTTGTGTTGAGACTTCAGATCCAGCAGGCCACAGACCCGACCATGTTCTTTCTCATTTCTTACTTTATTGAGGAAATTGGAGCACCTGAGCTCCCTTTTCTCTCCTCTTCATCTCAAAACCTACTGACATCCTCCCTCAGTCTCTCCTCCTTTCTTAGACTGGTAATGAGGTGGGCCTCCTTGCCAAGGTCAAATCTTCCACAGGCGAAATCTTGACCCCATTCCTCCCACATTTTTCAGCACACTGCCTCCTCAACTATCCTCTCTCTTGTTAATCTTCATTTCTACCTATTGATTTCAATTCTCCCTTATCCTTCACTAGATACTGCCATTCACTTCAAGTTTTCATCCTGTATTTCTCCTCCCTTTCTCAGTTAAACTCCTAGAAGTAGCCTGTTTGTTTCTGCTTCCTCTCCTCTCACTAACACTTTGTGATCTGGTTTTGAACCACATCACTCAACTGAAATTATCCTCTCCAAAGTTACCAACGAGCTCTCAGGTGTCAAACTTGATAGTCCTTTTTTTCATACCTCATCCTTCTCAACTTCTTTGCTAGATCTGACAACACCTACCATGGTGTCCTTCTAAGTCTCCCCTTCTTCAGGTTCTCCTTTTACCTGACCACTTCTCATTCTCCTCTGCTGACTTATCACCCCCAAAGCCAGGTCCTTTATCTCTCATCTCCCTGTAATCCTTCCTCACTACTGTTTCACTGAATTCCTCCCTTCTTTTTTTTCCCCCTACTTAATAGTTATTTTTTCCAATTACAAGTAAAGAGTTTTCAACATTCACTTTCCTCCTTTCCTTAAATGACATAATTGAAGCATCACCTTCAAATGTAGCCTCTTCTGATCCCCTTGATTTTGAGTGTCCTCCTTCTCTACCATGTATTTAATTACTTCATATTCATCTTTTATTTATTCTACACATATTTCTTTGGTATATACTCACATATAAGCTCTCTGAGAGGACTTTCATTTTTGTCTCTGTGTCCCTGGTACAGTACCAGGCACACAGCAGGTGCTTAATAAATATTTGACCTTACCTCCTAGATATTTTTCTGATCAGCTACTGTGCAGGTACATCCCTCTTCACTCCCTGCTTTCCACCTTTTGCTCTGGAAACTCTATTCAAATCACCACTGCTTCTAGAAGTGGCATGATAATTAACTGTCCCACAATTCTACTCATCATCTCTGTTATCCCCCAAACAAAACCACCCTTCACTGGCCACCAATCCTCTGTAAGTATTATCTCCTCCTATTAGAATTAGTAAGCTTTTTGAGTCAGGGATTCTACTTCTGTATTTGTAACCCCAGAGTTTTGCACAGTTCTTGGAACATATTAAGCACTTAATAAATGCTTTTTCATTTAAGACCTCCACCATCTGGCACTCACCTGCTTTCCAGCCTTATTTCATACTACTCTCCCACATGAACTCCATATTCCAGCCAAAAGAGTCTATTTCTCTTATGTAATGGCACAAACCATCACCGTGGCTGGTCTCTTTTCTTCTCTTTCTCTCAGACTCCTTCCTTCAAGGCTCAGCTCTGGCGCAGCCCGTGAGGTCTCTCCTAATTCCTCTCCACCTTTCAATTTTCATTGTATTAAATACACTTGTGCACATGCTGTCTCTTCACAGTAAGCTCCTGGGGTGCAAGAATTATTTCATTTTTACCTTCATATCCCCAGCATCTAGCACAGTGCTTTGTGCGTAACAGGTTTAATGTTTGCTAAATGTATCTTATGCTACTGATGTTACTAGTAGTGGCTTTTGTTAAACTAGTTTTACAATTCACATGTGGATCTTTAAAATATCACATGTAACTTTATATCTTAAATTAGTCACACAAAACACATTATTTAACCACATATTTGAGTGAACCCATTTTTTAATTAAAAAAAAAACACACCAAACACCTATTCAGACCTGTACTCGTTTTGAGGTGATCGATGACACAAGGACTTCCTGCATGTGTTCCATTTCCTTCTTTGGGTGCCTTTTTCCCACCCTTCCCTTTTAGAAGAATGGTATTACATGAACAAAGACATAAAACTCTACTACCAAGGAAGTCTTTGGGGGAACATTTTCTTGCATTTGGGAAGAATAAAGACTAAATAAATTCATTCTTAGATGTGGAGGAAGAAAACAGATACCATCTCTAGCAGTCCAACTCCGGGAGTCTGCCCAGCACCAGTCATTAACAAACACTTCGTGAGTCAGTGTTTACTTTATGCAATAGTCCAACACAAAGACGACACTCATGATTAAAACTTTAGGGACACAGCCAGGAGTTCATCCACCTCCCTTTAAATAAAAAAAAATCTCATTAAACATCTCCTATATTATGAATCAAACTAGTCCCCATCTTTACTATCTGTTGTTGAAGAAAGGTTTCGAGGAAGATTTAACAGCTCTTCAATTCTCTCTGCATGTCTTTCTGATTGATCTTTCCCTATGTTACTTTGAAATTCTTCAGTGACAACATCAGTAACAAGTAGCCTGGCCTTCCTGCAACAAATGAAAAGAGACAGATCAGATACAATTCCATTTCTTCACGTCATTTAAAAAAAAAAGTGCCTGGCTTCTGGTTCTTATATAATGACATGATGAACTGTGGGTTGAAATTTGTCTAGTGGGCAAGCACTGACATTTGCTTGGCCTAGGGCACTGCTGCTCACTGGTCCTCTGTGCCAAACAGCTTAATATGAACTCCTTAATAGCAGGTCAATGATTTCTTGGTTTTCAACTCCCTATAATCATTTCTGTTCCGTCCACTTTTGGGTTACTATTCTTAGCAGAAAAAATAGAAATAAGAATTGAGCAGTTCTGCTCTCAATCACCTATAGTTATAATCCCAACTAAGTGATCCCTATCCCTTCTTACTTCATCTTCTTTTCCTCAATATAGTTTAAAAAACACACAAACAAACAACCTGAAAGGCCCTGAACTCTTTTTCTTGTACCCAGACTTCATCATTGAATGTTCCTGACACTGGTTCCTTAGCATCTCTGATTGGTTTTCCTGTTATTTTCCTTCTCTTCAATTAGTTCAGTAAGAAGTACTAATTTTGCATTTTTTTTTAATCATTTCATCCTCCTCCCAACTGGTCTTTCTACAATTTGCCTTTAGAGTTTGCTCAAGATCCTCTGCTGTGGTACTTTACTGCTGATTCAAATTACTGCCCTCTTCAAATTCCTGCACTAGTCATGTGCATCTTATCCTGTCCATGCTCCTTTCCAAGGTTTTCAATCACTTTCTCAACAAATGATTTTTAACAATCCTAAATGAAGCAAAAAAAAAAAGTCAGAGAATACCTATTTATCTTTTTTTGTGCCTTTACAGGTTTGTGATGTTATTAACTTATATTTATAAATTCAAGGTTTTCAAAGCATTTTCCTTATAATAGTTCTATGAAGTAAGTAGTAGAAGTGTTATTAGCCCCACTTTGCAGAAGGGAAAACTATAATTCAGAGACGTTTAAGTGATTTACTCAGGGTTACATAACTAGTATGTCTTAGAATCAGGATTCTAAGCCAAACTCAGTGCATTTTCCACAATTCCCTACATTGGATCTAATTACCTTATGATTACACAGCAGTTTTTCTTCTTTTTCAAACTCTTTCTCAAAATTCACTTCTTGAAATAGCTTCTCATTATGCTACAGGGCCAGAGGACCACATAGTAAAATTCCAGTTCCCTATTCCTATCCCATTTGGCAGAAACCACATCTACCTTCTAAATTCTTTACCATTCCAAGATTCCTATTGACACACAATAGGATAAAATAAAATAGCTAGCTGCATTCTTCAGGGCTTATGGCTTTTCCTGAGTTTTCATCTTTATTGCCAGAGGGTTCAATAAAATAAACTCTTTTACTGGGCTTTCAGAAGAACTGGAAAAAATGTTTCTCTTCATAACACATCTTCTAAATTCTCTCTGAGTTTCCCAAAATGTCAGTGAAGGAGATTCTCAGCATTTGGAGAAATGTAAACTTTAGAATGTCAACAGAGATGTGATATGTAGGAGGATGGGCATTAGCTCTCCAAATCTAAGTAAAGTTCATTCCTTGCCTCTATAGTTCCTTTAAAGTTACTTCTTATATAGAGAGGAAAATGAAAAAAAAAAATGTAGTCAAATATATCAAAGCCTATCTTTGCTTCTCCTAACAACAAAGGTTCACACTCATAAAGAACCTCATCATATTACAGAGAAAAATTACAACCCTATCGTTTTTTCCATCTACTTTTTATTTGCATTATGTACATTTACTCATTTATTTTTAACCAGGTCTGTGATTTTTTATGGGGGTAGAGAACTCTTGGTGAGGAACTTCCTCTAACCATGCAGGTTGGCACCTCCCCTGCCACTGAGTCTTACCTGTGGCCATGGGAAGTTAGGGGACTTGCCCAGATATACACAGTCAGTGTATGTCAAGAGGTAGCACTTGAACCAAGGTCTTCCTGATTTCAAGGCCAGCTCTCTATCTATTATACTATACTGTTTTTCATAACAGAAATAAACATAATAAATGTATTTTAATTTTTTGTCATTTACATTTTAAAACTTTTTTTTTACTAAATATATGTGTAACACAAATGATATGGTAAAATTAAAAAGCCTCTCTGAATGCAACAACAATGACCATCTGACAGGCAAGAAGCCCAATGAGGCCTGACAGCTGAGGCTGAGCACCTTCCTTCCTTACCACTCGTTCAGCTTTGACTCATACAGCTCTTTTCGATCCTTCTGTTTTCTGTCCCAAACAGTCTCCCCTTGAAACTTCTGTATGGCCATGAGTATGATTCCAAAAGGAGTACTGAGGTGAAGAAGACAAAGAGGAACTGCTTAGGAAAGCTAACAGTCACGTGGACAAACATTCAACAACCACTTTTTCATGTTGTTTTGCTTAGTTATTTAGGGTTTAATAAGGGTTTGTTATTACTTTGTTTCATTTGTTCCGTGAATTGGTTGGTTGGGGTTTTTTTTGGGGGGAGCAGGTAGAGGGAATAAATGCAATTTTATAACACAAAAAAATATTAACCAGGAGCCTATGTCACAATTAGTTAAATAATGATCTCAGTGAGAATGTCTACAACTCCTTAGTGCTGCTCTTCCACTACAAAAAGCCTCTATTGGTACTTGTGACAGTTGAGATCATAATCAAATAAAGGAAAACTAATGAAACAGTTCTCTATGTAGTGGCAATAACAAAAAGAAAATTGGGGAGATTGCCTGACAGGTAAAATATATCACACCCAGAAACAGGCTCTATGATTCATTCTCACAGGAGAAAAATAAACCAGAATTATGAAAATACATATTTCTTGAAAAAAACCTATTAACAGCCTTAGGTTGATGGTATTAACGCACCCATCAACGGAGAGCTGGACTAGCCCTTAAAGATCCACGAGTGGAACCGCCTCCTTGTAAGCTGAGCTACACTAAGCACTTCATCAGACACTTGCACTGATTGGTTCTGTGAGTATGCCTGGCTGTCTCAAATAAACCAGGAGCTTCTGCAGAGAAGGGGCTGTGCTTTATTTTCCTTTCCTATTTCTTCAGTGCCTACAAGTGTTTTTTGTACATAGTAGGCAACCAACAAATTTGCATTAAAAAAGTATTCAAAAGAAGCTGATTACCACCTGTCAAGGATGCTACAGAAAGGGTTTTCTGGTGGTACCGTTTCAGAGGTTGGAAGAGATGACTCTAACATCCTGTACAACTCTAAATACTACGATTTTATGAATCTATAAATACCCAAGGATATAATGCATGTGATAAGCATCATGTGGGTCTTCAAAGTATTCTTAAATATAGGATGTTCCAGCAGTCTTAGTGAAGTTTTAAATTACTAAAGCTTAAAATTGCATTAAGCTTTTTGGGACACCTTATATCTATCACTCAAAACTGTATTATGTCAGTGCATAATCAGAGTACGATGTTAACAGCAATTTTAGTTTGTGGCTTTCACAAGACCCATCACTTTAAATAATAAAATATTACCTCTTTGAAAGGATCATAGCATTTAGATCTGAAAGGGGCTTTACAGGTTATCTCATTTAACCTTCTCATTTTAAAGATGAGAAAACTGAGACACAGAAAGATTAAGTGACTTGGCCAAAGATCACACTGGCAGTAAGCGCATGAACTGAGATTTAAGTCCTACTCTGATTCCAAATCTAGCACTCTTTCCATTTGACCACACTGAAAGCAGATTATGATAATAAAATAGCTCTATAAAACTCCAATTCAGACTGGCATTTGTTTACATCTCTGTAGTTTTATTTTATCTACCAGACAACGGTTGTATTGACCAAATTTGACCAAAGGTTGCTTGAATAGGGAAGTGTTTTTTTCCTGAACTTGATAGAAGTTAACTTTCACCTTTGATAACTATTAAGCAATCTTAATTAGAAATAGCTTTTGTCACATTTACATATATTTTTCCCTACTGATGAGGCAGTTATATTTCAAATATAAACTAAAAAAACTAACTTAAATTTATTTTCCTATGCTTAACTATAAACCACGTAGTTCAAACTTTGTTTCCATTTGTTTCAAATTTTAAGTGGTATTTAACTAGGAATCATCTCTCCTGAAGTCTGTCAAGAAAAAAAGGTGGAAGTAGAAAAAAGGGACTGAATTAGTACTGAACTATCATTGTATGTTTACACATACAATATTTCTAAAGTGACAGAAGGACCCTGTCATTCTAAGAATTATGATCTAGCACTCTAAGGATTAAATTTTTATCCTGGGGAATATATCATAAGGCATTAAGTGAAATTATGCTAATTTGGACACAAACCATGTAAAACATACCCCAGAATGGTTCCAATTACACAACCAGCACCAGACTACTCAAACCCAAGTGTATTCTGAAAAGACTTCCTGTAGCAGCTATTAAAAAACAGAAAAGAAAGGCAGATTTTAAATTAAACACTGGAATTAAAGGTCTCAGGTCTCTTATACTTTTTTCTTTCATATGGTTTTTCTTTTGCTAAAATGGGCACATTGGGCACAAATCGGGCACACCAAGAAATCCTGTTGGGCTTTTTGGTCAGTATCTCTATACTGCTCTTTTCATGCCTTCTTGCCTATTCAAAGGGGCTCTTTTTTTTTTCTACATCATGTCTAAAACTGTTTCACTTACTCTCCAAGTATCATCCCTTCCTATTTCCTGTATGACCATGCTCCTATTCTTCCTTCTCTAGCATCTTCAACCTCTTGCTATCCATTGGTTTTCCCTCTTCCATCTCCAAAGATGCAGAAGCTTTCCCATCTTAAAAAAATCTTTACTTGACTGAGTACCAACCTCATCATTTACTAGATGTGTGAACATGGGCAAGTCAATAAACATTATTGAGTTTCAAATGAAGACAATAATACCTGCCTTACTACCTCAAAGAGTTATTAAAACACAAAGATTTTATTTTTCCTTTTTCCTCCATCTCTGACTTAGAGCTCAGCTAACTCTAGGCAATCTTCTCACATTTACATACTCCTTAATATTCTTTTTGCTTCCTTTTTTCTTTCTCTGATTCTTAGCCAAACAACTGAGGGGAGAAAAATACTTTCTCCTTCCTTCCTGCTCTTTTCATTTAATTTTTGCATCCCCTCCCGCCAAATGAAGTTACTCTATGACTGATAAGTATAAGAGTCTTGCTTATAAAATGTGTCTTATCAAGGAAAAGAAGACATAAGTTTTGAAGAACAGCGTTGGCATCTAAAGGAATCCTTGAAAGTTCACTGACGTTCCCTGTAGAGTCTCCCCAGAAATTTCTAATTGCATCCTCACTTTTCTCTAGCCCAAACTACTGATTCAAAAAAATTTTAGATGTTAGAACTAGAGAGCACCTACTCAAACCCTCTCACTTTAGAGATGAGGACAATAAAGGTCACAGAAGTTAAGTGATCTGACCAAAGTTACAGAGCTAGTTAGTGGCAGGTCTGGGGCAAAGACCTAGCTGGAACTAGAACCCAGCCACTTAGGCTGAATCAGGCATTAACAGAATCTGAGTTCAAATATAAGCTCTGCCACTAAATGCCTGCATAATCTTGGACAAGTCACTTAATCTCTTTGCCTGTTTCTTTACCTATTAAAAAAAAGATTGGGGGCAGCTAGATGGCACAGCGGATAGAGCACCAGCCCTGAAATCAGGAGGACCTGAGTTCAAATCTGGCCTCAGACCAAACACTTGACACTTACTAGCTGTATGACCCAATTGCTTCATCCAAAAAAACAAACAAACAAACAAACAAACCGAAAAAAGGGAAGCATTTGAGGTAGATTGACCTTTAAGGTCCCTGCAAAGCTCTAAATTTATGATCCTATGTCCCCAGTCCAGACTTTTCCTAAGTCTTCTAGCTTAAAGTCTAGAATTTTTCCACTACTACCAACATGGTAAGATAAGCTTTAAGATATATTTATTCAATTTTGGTTGCTTTCTTTAATAACTAGTATTGTCTTCTAATTTTTTTTTTTTACTACAAACTACATTACAGGAGAACAAGGCTTTTGTGGGCTTGTCTGGGAACCTATTTATAACATTTTATTCATTCAAACATGTATTGGTTGCCTCCTATGTGTAAGGCACTATGATGACATTGAAGGAAATTCAAAGGTAAATACAATGATTCTGAGTTAACTTTAATCAGGCCTTTGTGGAACAACCCTTCTTTTTTTTAACCTCTTGATGACTCTTTAATGTAAGTCTCCCAGCAATTACTCCAAACCATTCCCTTCTCCTAACTCTACTCCTCCCCATTCCTTCTCTCAGATGACTGACCTCATTTAGCTCTCCTCCACACCAAAACAAAACAAAACAAACAAACAAAACCCCCCCTCCATGTCTTGACCCATTCTCTCCCTTCCCTTTATGGTCTCACAGAATGAGGTGGTCCTTCTCTCTGCCAAGGCTAACCTACACATCTTGGTCTTGGTCCAACCACCTTTCACCCCCTCCAAAAGTGTCCCACTGCAGAATTACACAGATACTGAAAACTGCCAAGAAACTTAGAGAACACCTAGTCCAATCCATCAATTATCCTCATTCTCTTTTAGCTTCAACACTAGCTCTTTTTCTTCTGCCTTCAGATATGCTCAGGTCTCTCCTTTTCCTCATTCATACTCTCTTTTCAATAGCCTGTCTCTCTCTATTCCCATCACTGCCAAATTTCTAGAAAAAGCAATCTAACCACTAACTATGGAATGGCTCAACAAACTGGGGTAGTAAGGGAATTGAATATTGTTATTCAGAGAAGCACATGAAGACATGTATGAAAGATAATGCAGGATGAGGCAAGCAGATCTAGGAAAACAATATATAACAATAAATGTAAACAAAAAGAAATCTAAAACGAAGCAGAATACTGAATTTGACACTTGAGAGGAGATGAAGGCATGCCTGTCCCTTCTTCCCTTGGAGGTGGAGATGCTAAAGGTTGCACATACTGTTAGACGTGGTTACTATGCATGTAATTCTACTTAACTGTTCTCTTGTCACAAGGGAAAGCAGACTGGGACAGAATGAAAAAACAGAAAGGTACTCCTTCTACCATGAAAAATACTATAGGTAAAGGGAATTAGAGAGAAGTCTCCAGAAGGAAATAATCCTGCAATAACAACAACTGACCCCCAGAAGTGAAAAAGGAACTACCACATGATACCCAAAGTGGTTAAGAAGTTGAATAAAAAATGAAAGGAAGATATAAGGAGGGAACTGCTTCTTCATAGAGAGCTGACGGAACAGAGCTACAGAATGAGACACAGTTTCAGAAATGATCAATGTGGTGATTTGTTGCACATGACTACTTATTTGTTACATGGAAGGGCTTGTATTAGGAGAATGATAGATAATTTAATGAATAATGAAATAGATTTTAAAAAGGAGCATCAAGAAAACATTTTAAAAATACACAAAAGAAAGGGCCTTCCTTTACGAGGTTACCCTGTATCTGCTCTACATGTATGTGTTTTGCATATACCTACATATCTGTGTGTTGTCTCTCTCGTTAGAACATAAGTTCTTTGAGGGCAGGGACTTTCACTATGGTCTTTGTATCACTAATGTCTTAGGAGAAGCTTAATAAATGCTTAAATAAAAAAATTAAATAAATGCTAAATAAAAAGAAATAAATTCCCACGTGACTTGTGTCCAGGCACTCATGTAAACTTTCCCCATGGGACTACCCAAAGTGCCAGGGGCATTCCTCTAGATCTGAAATTCCCAGAATGCCAGAGGAGTATGCAGGCTATCAGTTATCCTCCAGTCTCAATACAGGACTGGTCTACCTTCCTTTCCAGTCTTACATCTGTCTGAAGATATCCTTTATGCTGCTTCTTCCGCACAACTCTTCATTAGTAATATGCTGCAGGCTATTCATGACCTCCATTGACTTTTGGGTGACCCTTGAAACTTATTCTTCGGAGACTGTGGCATTTTATGACTTGCAGCCACAGGGTATATCATCTGAAGAATATTTAATTCAGTCTTGAGATTCTTACTACAAATGAAACCAGAAGATAAAAGGAAATTGCAGCTAAATAGAAGTATGGCTGCCAAGTCTTCCTTGGTGAGGTAAATAAAGGTGTTCACAGAGTTGGTTTTATCAGATACCCAAAAGCAACAAGAAACAATTTTATTGGTCATTATATATTGCAGGACATGTAAGTATTTGCAAATACCCCCATGAAGATTACTTCAACTCATTTGCCATTATCTGCTGCAGAGGATAAGGAGATAGCAAAATTCTACAAAGAATTTGAAGACGGGCAGCTAGGTGGTGCAGTAGACAGAGCACTGGCCCTGGAGTCAGGAGGACCTGAGTTCAAATCAGACCTCAGACACATAACACTAGCTGTGTGACTCTGGGCAAGTCACTTAACCCCAATTGCCTCACACAAAAAAAACCCCCAAAAACAAAAAACACCAAAAACTTGAAGAGACTTCTAAATTAAATCAACCCACAGGGGAGGATGGCAAAAACTATGTGGGAAAAAAATTGTTCAGAAGTAAATAATAACTCACACTACATAAATTACAATATAAGGTTTACAAAGTTCTTTCTTCATAACAACCCTGATAGTGTATTATCTATATTTTATAAATAAGGAAACTAAGGCTCTCAAATCATAAATGACTTGCCTGTGACCAGACAACTGAAAGTTGTCTGAGGGAGGATTTAAACTGAGGTATCCTGAATCCAAGTTTAGCGCTGTTTCCATTATGCCCACCTGTCCCTCAATAACTCATACTGGCATACCTCTTTAATGCTTGCAAAATGCTTGTCAAAAGGTCACTGAGGTCATCAAGAAACAAAGATAATACACTGAGCCCACATTCTGAATGTGTTAATAAAGGATGTAGAAATGACATTTCAGAAAACAGAGAAGGCAAAGACAACTAACGTGGATGGTTTTATGCGACTATGCTTATTTGTCCCAAGAGAGCTTTTTATTTTGTTTTGTTTTGATTTTGGGAGGATGGGGGAGAAGCAGAGAAGTAAATGATAATAGTGTCCAAAAAAAGGAAGATAAAGTAAAGGGGGCCTTTGGAACATTTTAAAAAATATACAGAAGGGGTCTGACCATTCTGGAGAACAATTTGGAACTATACCCAAAGGGCTATAAAACTGTGTATACCCTTTCACCCAGCAATACCACTGCTAGGTTTGTATCCCAAAGAGATCAAAGAAAAGGGATTATATAAAACTGTACAAAAACATTTATAGGAGCTCCTTTTGTAGTGGCAAAAAAAAGAGAGAGAGAGAGAGAAATTGAATGTAAGCCTATCAATTAGGGAAGAGCTGAACAAGCCCTTCTGATGGAATACTATTGTGCTACGAGAAATAACAAGGGGGATGGCTTCAGAAAAACTTGGGAAGACTTATATGAACTGATTCAAAGGGAAGTGAGCAGAACCAGGAGATCATTGCACACAGTAACAGCAACACTGTAATGATGACCAACAGTGAAAGACTTAGCTACTCTAATCAATACAATGATCCAGGACAATTCTAAGGGACCCATGATGAAAAATGCTATCCACCTCCAGAGAGAGAATTAATGAACTCTGAGTGCAGATTTAAGCTGACTTTTTTTCACTTTTTTGATTTTTATTTTTTTTTGAAATATGGCTAATACAGAAATACATTTTGCACTTCACATTTTAATATATTGCTTGCCTTCTCAATAGGTGGGAAAGGTGCAGAAGAGAGAGAACTTGGAACCCAGAATTCTTTTCAAAAGAATGTTAAAAATAAATAGATTGATAGGGATTTGGAAAATACACAAAAGGCAACAGGAGGAAGTGCAGGAGACACTGGCTGAACTTGACAGGTATGAACATTTCCATATACAAAGAAGAAGAAACCCTATTGATCACCCTCTTGAGGTTATTCTGTCACTGCTTTCTCCTGGTCTCCCTCCTACCTGTATGACTGCTCTTTCTCGGCCTCCTCTGCTATATCTTCATCCAAGTCACACTCCCTACAGTGTCTCTCAAATCTCTGTCCTGGGCCCACTTCTTTTCACTCTACACTATTTCATCAGCTCCCATGGGTTCAATTCTCATCTCTCTGCAAATAATTCCCAGGTCTGTATACCCAGCCCTAACCTCTCTCCTGAGGTATGTCTCACATCACTAACTACCTTTTAAATATCTAACTGGATGTGCCATAGGCACCTCAAACCCAATATATCCAAAAGAGAATTAATTATATTTCTCCCCAAACCCTCATCCCTTTCCCAAACTTCCCTATTATTGTTGAGGGCAACACTATCCTTCCAGGTAACCAGGCTCACAGCCTCCATGTCATCCTCAATTCTTCTCTTGCACTCAATACACATATCCAATCTGCTGCCAAGTCTTGTTGGTTCTTCCTTTCAAAATGTCTCCTGTAGATACACCCTTCTCTTCACTCCCACAGCTGCCACCCTGGTACAGGCCCTCATTACCTCTTCTCTGGACTACTGCAATAGCCTTCTTAAAGGTCTTCTTGCCTCAACTCTCTCCTCACTCCAATCCATCCTCCACATAGATGCCAAAGTGATTTTCTAAGTTGTGAACCTGACCGTGTTACAAACCAATCTTTAAGAAACTCCAGTGCCTCCCAATTATTACCTCCAGGATCAAATACAAAATCCTCTGTTCAGCTTTTAAAGCCCTTTGCAACCTGGCCCCTTCCTCTCTTTCAAGTCTTCTTATATTATACTCCCTTCATGCACTCCATAATGAAGCAACACTGGCCTTCTTCTTCACATCTGACACTCCCATCTCCAGACGTCCCTTTTCACTGGATGGCCCCCGTGCCTCAGATGCTCCTCCTCCTCCCCTCTGCCTCCTGGCTTTCCTGGCTTCCTTTAAATCCCACCTTCTGCAGGAGGCCTTTCCTACACTCCCACTGTTAGGCCTTCCCTCTGGGATTACCTTCCATTTATACTGTATACATCTTGTATGTACAATTTTTTGCATATTGTCTCCCCCATTTGAACATGAATTCCTTGAGGCCAGGGATGGTGTTTGTGCCTTTTTTCGCAAAGAACTTTGCATTCTACAGTCTAGCTAAAATGGCTTTCTTACTATAACTCCTAAATATCACTCCATCTCCCATCTTCATCTTTACAGTTGCTATCCCCCATGCCCAGAATGCATCCCTTACTTATCTCCACCATTCTAATGCCCTGTTCTCCTTCAAGCAAGGCTCAAGTGCTACCTTCTACTGAAACTTTTCCTAATATCCCCCAGCTACTATACTACTGCATCCCCCTCCTCGCAAAACTATCTTGTGTATTTCTATAGATGTATATGTTACTATCTGAAACTAAACTGCAAGCTATTTAAAGGCAGGGATTGTCTCCTCAAAAGACTTTTTTTGTAATCTTTGTATCCTCAGAACTTAGCACAGTGTATGACATCTCATGTTTATAAATGCTTCTTCATTCATTCAATTTAATTACTTTACAAATGCATGTTGTCTGCCTAATGACACCACAAGCTCTCTGCAGATCTCTTCCCTTTCCTTTCTGGGCCCTTTGCTCTTTGTTTGAAATGCCCTTCTCCCCTTACCTTGTTAATACCCTCCCCATTCTCCAGGGCCCAGTTCAAACATGCCCATCTCTTCCACGAAACCTACTGAATATTCTTTCACCCCTTCTCTAAATTCCCATAGCATTTTCTCTATCCCCATTTGACGGTACTTAGCTCACTTACAAAAATAACCATAAGGACAAATGTATTTCCCATATTAAATCATAAGTGCCCTGAGGGCAAGCCCTTTCTTTTGCAGTTTAGTTTCTTACACAATCCTTAGTTCAGTGCCTGGAACACAGAAGATACTTAGTAAATGTTTGCTGAATGAATAAAAATGCTTACAAATGCCTTTCAGGGATATGTATTACCTTCCCAGAAAATGAGAGCTATCTCTCTCATTATTAGACAAGCCAGAGAAATATATAGAGAAATTATTCAAATTCTTCTTAAGTATTTGTCTTCCTACAAACAGTATCCAGTCTAAAGGTATCTGCATTAATCCCAAGCTTCTGGTAGGCACTATCACCACCACTGCAATACAGGTAGATCATTCTAACAGATGATGATTTAATGCCACATGTTGTCTAGCAAAGCTACTACTACATGCTATAATACGGGAAGCAATTTTTTTTTTTGGCTAGGCAATGGGGTTAAGTGACTTGCCCAGGGTCACACAGCTAGTAAGTGTTATGTGTCTGAGACCAAATTTGAACTCAAGTCCTTCTGAATCCAGGGCTGGTGCTCTATCCACTGCGCCACCTAGATGCCCCTACATGCTATAATATGATAGGTAGTAACTGTTCTCTATTGATCTCATTTTAATTAATTCTACTCTAACAAACCTGGTAATTTTAGACTGAATCACTAACATTTTTTCCATCAAAGCATCTTATATGCAGCAAGTTTCACAAACTCCTTTTACATTATAGAAGTTCTGAGGCGGAATTCCAAAATAATATGCCAAGTCAAGAGATGAATTAATCCGGAAGGCCTTACTTCAACTGCCTTTCAATAATCATTAAACCACTGGCATACAATGAGAAATGTAAAAAAAAAAAAAGTCTTACCTCCTGCAACAACAAAATGGCTTATGGCACTTTTATTTCGGTATACATTCAGACCAGTGCTCACTGTGCTAGAGAGGTTGAGGAAAAAAGGCAAAAAAAAAAATATGCTTTTGAGCATACTGACAGTACTTTCCTAACATCATGACCATAAAATTCCTCAACCCAATTACTTCTTGGTAATATTTTTAAGGAAAGGAACAGGCTATCATTTTCATTCATTAACCCCAATCCAGGCTCTCTGTCACTTTTCTATTCTGCTTCAGGGTCTCTATGTACCCCGAGTCCTATAATATGGACTCTGAAAAAGAAAACTATTACTGTTGACTGCCCTTCAGTTTATTTGTCAAGTCTCTCCATAAGGAGCTAACTTAGAGGTTGAAAATGAAGAAAAGTTACATACAGATTGTTTGCCCCCTTTATATTTACAATCTTTAAACCACACTAGTAACAAATCCACATACATCTGGTGCTGGGCACAACACATCTTACATAGACAGACAAACACATTTTACTGAGAAATAAGCACTACAAGCTTTTTTTATGTTGTTTTTTTTTAAACAGTCACAAAAATATATTCATCCCACTAATACAGAGTTGATGAACTGATCCAATCATTCTAGAAAACCGGGAATCATAATGAAAAAGCCATTACATTGTTTATACCTTTTGACCCCACTATTGGATACATACCACAAGGAGGTAAATGACAGAAAGAAAGAAAGGTCCTATAACAAAATATTCATGGTAGCACTATTTGGGATAGCAAATAACTAAAACCAAAAATGGATGCTGGCAACTGAAGAATGGCTAGACACACTGTGGAACATGAATATGATGAGATATTACTATGTCATAAAAAATGAAAAACAGGAACTCACAGAAATATTGGTATAAAATGAAGAAAGCAAAACCAAAAAGATACACATGACCACAATAACATAAACAACACTAAGAAGCCGTTAGACCCTAATGAAATACAAGAAATAATCTGCCTCAGACAAAAAGGGATGGATGCTTTTTTCTTCTTTGAAGAGAGATAATAGCTATGGATTTGGAAAGTGGCATATACTGTCAGATGTGGTCCTTATGTCAGTTCACTTAAAATATAAAGTAATAAAACTTTTTTTAAAAACTGCATTACTGAAGGTGTTCTGAGATAACATGTTCTTACCACTATTCAAAGAGAGCTTACTTAAACAGAGTCACAAAGATGGCTGTTCTCCAACTCCACCGCCAGCCATATCGGATGAATCCTCGAATGGCAGCTCTATGGGCAGATTGCTGAAATGGAAAGAAGGTTTGATTAGCTGTCTAATATGTTTTCCTTATAATCAGAACTATGGTAGAAGAGTGAGCCACAGACTAGGAGGTACTCCTATATAATACATATGTAAAATATACTAAAAAAGAGGGTCTACAGAATCATTACCTTAACCAAGGCAAATGGGGTTTTCTCTGCTACTAATTCTAAAAACTAACACCATGACTATGTTACACATGATTATGGGGAGACAGCACATTTTTTAATTAGCAATGTCTCATACAGAGTTGTTAAATATACTTGCCATCTAACACACATGAGGTGGACTAATTATGGGCCTGTTATTTATGGACTAATGATGGAACTGACCATTCCATCAAGCAGTACATGGAAAACTTGTAAATACTTATGTCAATCATAAGAATTTACTAAGCATCTATGTGTGAAATACAAAAATATAAGACATGTTTCCTGCCCTCAAGAAATTCTAGCTGGGGAAATGACATGTACATAAGAAAACAGGAAGGTATTAAGTGTTATTTTGCATGACAGAACCTAAAGTCTTATATGAAATCAGAGAAATTAATGTTGCCTGGAATACTCAGGGAAGGTTTCGTGGAGGAGTATGACTCCTGAAGATTGAAAGATAGGTAGGATTTAGATTGATGAAAAAGACTCAGAAAGGAATCATGGGCAGAGAATACAGTATAAGCAAAAGCAGGACTGAGAATGAATGAGGTGTTTGGAGAGAAAGAGAGGAGACTAGCCTCACTTGAACCAACTCAGCTCAAAATATTTACACCCACGTACACCTGTACTTCCTGGCGTTTACTTGGCAGGTAAATATGAATTGTCCCTTTCCTGACCTTGTTAGCTCAACTTCCCTCCCACACAGCAAGTCCAATATTTAACTGGACTAGATATTTCTAATCACATCACCCAGACAGGAAACCATTTAGTAAAACAATTCTCAAAATTGGTTAGCAACCAAATCCTATTATATATCACTCATTCATACATACATACATACATACATACCACAGCATCAAACCGGTTGTAATAAACCTCTGCATGGCTCTGAGAAACATAACGTTGTTTGGCATGATAAAAAGCAGGTATGCCACCATATAACCAACCAATGATTGCCCCTGAAGCTGCTGATTTGTAAATATAATCAATTTCCTCTGGGACTGGCAGGCGTTCACTGAAACAATAATGAAAGACAAAGTTCCTTGGATTTAACTCTTGGAAATTACTAATCAACTTCCCTAACACTCTCTAAATGCAAACAGCCTTGTATTTCTATCAATTGTGATTCTCACAGAAGATACTAAAATGCATTAAAATGTAATTACAGCTGTCTTTAAGTCCAGAATTCAGCTCCTGATGATCTTCCTCTTTGATATTATTACTAAAATACCAGTCTCCAGAACAAAATTATAGAGAATTTGTGTTAGAGAATTTATTATTTCCCTTATTTGAATTTCAATTTTAAACTAGTAATTGCCCAATACAATTGAGTTTCCAGAATGTTGTATTTATGATTAAAACCCAGGGGTATAAAAAGAAACTGGATATTTTGTCTAACTTTTATCAAATATAGAGAACACATACAGTAAAATGATATTGATCCAGACTAACTGGTAGGTGGAAACCAATCTGAATTAGATTTTTTTTTTCAAAGAAGATTTTACTTTTTAGTAAATAAAGTAAGCTGAAGTAAAGTATATCCTGATAGGGCTGACTGATGAATTCATAAAGGGTTTGTCTATAATTAGCAAAAATCCACTTATTACATCTGTAGACAATTAATGCAGTTACTCTGGATAAAGTTATTCTCTTAAGCAGACTAAACATCCTCCCTCCATTTTCTATTTGCTTAGAAGATCCTTTCCTCAGGATTGATGAAAATACAAATTCCAGCCTGGTCTATGTTCAAAGGATCATATATTTAGAACTGGGAGGGGTACGAGAAGTCATCTAATCCAATGCCCTCAATTTTTAAATTGAGGAAACTGAGACCTAGAGAAGTAATTACAAATTTCTAAAATCTGAATTAATGAGGTTTCAGTGTAAATCTATAGAGTACTTGCATTTGTAATGAAGAAGTTTTAATTCCTCAGCACAACAAAAATCTTAGGATTTAGAGGTAGTAAGGATCTTTGACGTCATCTAGTTCAATCTCATTTTAGAAATAAGAAACTTAAGACACAAACTTAAGAAGTGATGTGTCCAGTAGGTGGAGCCAAGATGGCAGAGAAAAGGCAGCAACTTGCCTGAGCTTTCCCTAAAACCCCTCCAAACATCTTTGAGTAATGGCATAAAAAAATTCCTGAAGCAGCAGAACTCACAAAAGGACAGGGGGAAATAATTTTTCAGCCAAAGACAACTTAGAAGGTCAGCAGGAAAGGTCTGTCACACCTGGGTGAGAGTGGAGCATAGTTCAGCATGGCACAACAGACCAGGCCCCAGTAAACCAGGAGAAGGCCTTGGAAGCCACTGAATCAGCACTAACAGTGGCTGCTTCTGTAGCCCTAAGTCCATAGACAGTAAGGGGGCTGGACAACTGATCAGAAGATTACAGGGTTCTCTTTGCTGGCACTGGGGACAGGACTCTGGTCCTTTGCCCATACTCAGATCCAGGTTGTAATCCCAGGTGGCAATCCCAAGGTGAGGAGGAGCACTAGTACTCCTAGTAATAAGGTTAAACTGTTTACATTCCTATATGGGATGATACTTGTAACTCACAAAAACTTTCTCATTGTTAGGGCAGTTAGGAGTATGTGTAGACAGACAGCACAGGTGTGAGCTAAATATGAAGGGATGATACCTAAAAAAATAAAATTAAGGAGAAAGAGGAATGTGCTGGGAAAAGAGGAAAGGGAAGGGAAGAATAGGGTAAATTATCTCACATAAAAGAGGCAAGAAAAAGCTTTTACAGTGGAGGGGAAGATGGGGAAGATGAGGGAGGAGTGAGAGAACCTTAATCTCATCAGAATTGGCTCAAAGAGGGACATACACACTCAACTGGGTATAGAAATCTATTTTACCCTACAGGAAAGTAGGAGGGGAAGTAAATAAGAGAAAAGGGTGATAGAAGGGAGAGAAGATTGGGGGAGGTAACAGTCAGAAGCAAAACACTTTTGAGGAGGGATTGAAGCAAGTTTCTCTGACAAAGGCCTCATTTCTCAAATATATAGAGAACTGAGTTATTTGTTAAAAATAGGAGCCATTCCCCAATTGATAAATGATCAAGAGACATTATGAACAGTTTTCAGATGAAATAATCAAAGCTATCTATAGTCATATGAGAAGGAGCTCTAAATGGCTATTGACTCAAGGAAAGCAAATTAAAACAATTCTGAGGCATTTCCTCATATCTATTATATTGGCTGATAGGACAGAAAAGGAGAATGATAAGTGTTGGAGGAGATATGAGAAAAATGAGACATCAATGCACTGTTGGTAGAGATGTGAAGTGATTCAACCATTCTTTGGAGCAATTTGGAACTGCGCCCAAAGGGTTATAAAACTATGCATACCCTTTGATCTAGCAGTGCCACTACTATGTCTGTATCCAAAAAATAAGGTAAAAAGACCTATATGGCCAAAAATATTTATAGCAGCCCTATTCTGGTGGCAGGGAGTTGGAAATTGAGAGGACACCCATCAACTGGGGAATGGTTGAACAAATCATGCTATGAGATTATAATGGAATACTATTGTACTATAAGAAATCCTGAGCAGAATGCTCTCAGAAAAACCTGGAAAGGCTTACATGAGCTGATACAAAGTGAAATGTATTATATACAAAGTAACAGCAAAATTGTAATATGATCAGCTATGAATAACTTAGATATCCTCAGCAATACTATGATTCAAGAAGGATTTGTGAAGGATTTATAATGAAAAATGCTATCCATCCCCAAACAAAGAACTGATGGTGTCTAAATACAGATTGAAGCATACTTTTTTAACTTAATTTTTTCTTGAGGGTTTTTTTTTGGTCTATGTTTTCTATGTTTTGGTCTATGATAAATAGGGAAGTATGTTTTGCATGACTACATATGTATAACCTATATCAAATTGCTTGCCTTCTCAATGAGCAGGGTGAGGAGAGAGGAAGGGAGAGAATTTGGAACTCAAAAGTTTTAAAAAGGAATGTTAAAAATTGTTTTTACATGTAATTGGAAAAAATAAAATATTAAATAAATTTTAAAAAAAGAAGTGATGTGCCCAAATTCATATGGGCAATCAAAGACTAGTAGAATCTGAGTTGGAAATTACCTCAGATACCAACTGGTCCACCCCTTTGTGCTCCACAACATCACCAAGTGGTCACCCAACCTAGGCTGGAAGGTCTCTTCTATTATCCTTAATCTCCTCACACTCCTCCTTTTAGGACTCTTTATTCACAAAGTGATACTCTTCCTCCTCAAATCCAGTATTCTTGCCACTGTTAACCACTACTACTATTAAGAGTTAAGACATTTATTTGAAGTTTAGCTGGGCTGCTAATTAACATGACATAATTTTCCTAGGTTTCCTCACTCTTTTAGATAAAATAAAGCAATTATTGCTTTTCATGATTCTCCCAGCTTCAAAATTCCACATTCCTATAAGTCACAGGTGATCAACCCTAATGCTGACAAAAATTAGAGATAAGAACAATAAATACCTGCTCTACTATTTATCACCTGTGGGAACCTGTGCAGATGACAACTTTTCTGGGTTTCTTTTTTATCATCTGATAATGTGGGGGTTGAACTAGATTATCTCTAGGATCTCTTCCAGTTCCTATAACATACGGTCCTGTGAAACTTTTCTAGTTTCCTGGATCACAGGATGTCAGGTAAATATTAAAAGAATTGCGACTGGAAGTCTTTTATTCTTAACAAAGTTATCAACCATACCTGAATGTTACCACTTGGAAACTTGGACAGGCTTGTCATACAATTACTGACCTACAAAGTCTGTATACCTTATAATGAAATCACAGGGGGCAAATATGAAAAACAAATACTAGCAACCAAGTGGGAAAAGTTTAGTAAGAGGCAGGTGGGAGTGAGAAACAGACTAGAACCTCAAAGTTCTACTTAAGGCCCATGATAGACTGTACTGAGGCTAAAACCTATTCTGCAGCTTTTTTGCTTTTTTTTTTGGGGGGGGGGTCTGGCAATTGGGGTTGAGTGACCTGTCCAGGGTCACACAGCTGGTTAAGCGTCAAGTATCTGGGGATGCATTTGAACTGAGGTCCTCTCTGCAAGGCCAGTGCTCTATCCACTGCACCACCTAGCTGCCCCTCCTGCAATTCCTCCAATGAACAATTATTATTAAAAACTGTCAAGTTATATTTACTCTCTGACAAAGAGCTCCTTGAGGCGGTGCCATCCTGATTCTGGGTAAAACGGACGCTTAATGTGAGGAAGCAGAGTCTTCTCAGGGGAGCGGCTGGAGTTGGTTGCAATGGTGCTTTCCTCAGCAAGGACCTTTGGCAAAGGGACTAGAGCCTCCCATGCTCTTCTCAAACAAGTCTTCTGGGGTCTCTCCATCCTAGTTCTTGGCACTAAGAAAACACAGTCAAATGACAAAAGTTAGTGCCATGGACGTCTTGGCAGCTGGGATAAAAAAAAAAGTAGGGGCAAAAATAGGAAGGTAGGAAGGGAATAATGGGGAGAGGGAGAAAGAAGAAAAAGAAGAGAGGATGAGAGAGAGGAAGAGAGCAACAATAAAAGAAAGCGAGAGGGAGAAATGGAGAGAGAAAAGGGTTGAGAGAAACAAGAGAAAGAGGGTATAAAACACAAAAGGAGGAGAATGAAAGAAACAAAATGAAATAGAAAGGGGGAGAAGGGGAGAAAGAGAAAAAGGTAAAAAGAAATAAGAAAAAGAAGGAAAGCGGAACAGAAAGAAGGGAAAGAGAGAAAAGGAGAGAGAGGGAGGGGAAAGATGGAGACTAAGAAAGGGAAAAAAAAGAAAAGGAAGAAAAAGAAAAACCCCAACAACCAAAAATTCAGAATGCCTGGAAGAAAAAAATAAGTACGTTTGGTACCTCCTCGCATTTATATGGGCTTGTGCTGGCTATCCTTCGGCCGTGTTTCTATGTGTGTACGTCCCTACACACACACACACACACACACACACACACACACACACACACACACACACACACACACACACACACACACACACACACACACACACACACACACACACACACACACACACACACACACACACACACACGGAGAAGCGCCGGACGACGAGTGTCAAGATGGCCAGGGGTCCAAGCCCGCCTCATACATTTACCAACTGTGTGACCTTCAGGAAAGTCAGTTAACCTCCCTAAGCTTCAGTTTCCCCATCAGTTTAAAAAAAAAAACAAAGAAACAAACCCGACAGGGGCTACACAAGACGACCTCCAAGATCCCTTCCGACACCAGGAAACGCTTTCTACCGCCTTCTCGGGCATGACCCGGAAGCTCTTCCCAGGGACAGACAGGAAGTCCTATAGTTGGGGTCGGCGCAGAGATGCGGCTGCGCAGGACGCCGTCGCCTAGTGATCAAAGGTGCATGCGCGTTCTTTCTTGCGCGTTACACTGGTTGCTGCAGTTCTGCCTCATGGAATTTATGGAAGCCTACAGCCTGAGTAATCCAACATCCCCTTTACAGATTAGGAAACTGAGGATGGGATTACCCTAGGCACACAGGTGCAGATCTGAGATTAGAAAGAAACCGGGCCCTCGGACCCCTCTGTTCCACAGCTCGTTCCCCTCTTAGATTAGAGAAAGCATTTATTAAGCGCTTGCTGTGTGCCTAGAGCCTGTAGAGGGGGGAGGGGCAGAGACCTAAATGGAAGGGTCAGCACCCTTTACCCCACAGAAGTTCGTCCCCTACAGTACCTTGGCATTCTAGGCCTTGTGTATCCATCGAGAGTAAGGTGCAGATGAAAACTACACTGTCCTAGAAAATGGTATTTATTCTCCTTTGTTTTATTTAGTTCACAAGTGTTTGTTTTCTCTCCCTCCTGTTTCCAAAGGGGGGATGGGGAAGGGGGAAGAGAATAACAAAACCCTTGTTACAGATACCCATAGTCAAGCAAACCAAATGCCCACATTGGCCATGTTCAGAAATATATGTCCCATTCCACATACAAAGCCCATTCCTTCTGTTAGATGATGGGTAGCAGTCTTCATTATCACTTTTCTGCCATCTTGGTTGGTCGTTGCATTGGCCAGAGCTATTAAGTCTTTGAATAATAGCTAACATTCTTTTTTTTTTTTTTGGCTAGGCAGTGGGGTTAAGTGACTTCCCCAGGGTCACACAGCTAGTAAGTGTTATGTCTCTGAGGTCAGATTTGAACTCAGGTGCTCCTGAATCCAGGGCCAGTGCTCTATCACTGCGCCACCTAGCTGCCCCAATAGCTAACATTCATACAGTACTTACCATGTGCTGGGCACTGTACTAAGCACTTTACCATTATTGTTATCTTTGATCCTCACACAACTCTGAGAGGCAGGTGCTATTATTATGACCATTTTTTTATTTTTTTAATTTATTTTTAATTTTCAACATTCACTTCCATAACATTTTGAGTTTTAAATTTTCTCCCTCTCCTTCCCCCCCACAAGATGGTGTACAATCTAGTATAGGCTCTACATATACATTCATGTTAAGTATATTTTCCCATTAGTCATGATGTAAAGAACAATTAGATCTAATGAGAGGAGCCACAAGTATAAAGCAATCAAACAAAACAACAAAGGAAAAGGAGAGCAAATAGTATGCTTCCATCTGCATTCAGACTCCATATTTCTTTCTCTGGGTGTGGATAGCAATTTCCATCATGAATCTTTTGGAGTTGTCTTAGATTCTTGTGTTGCTGTGAAGAGCTAAGTCTTTCAAAGTCAGTCATCCCATAATATTATGCCCCTTTTTACAGATGAGGAAACTGAGGCAAAGAGAGGTTAAGTGATTTGCCCAGTCACACAGCTAGTGTTTGAGGTCAACACTGTGCCATCTAGCTGCCCTTTTCAAAGTTGTTCATTTTTACAACGTTAATCACATCTGAGATTAGACTTGCCGTCTTCACACCATAACTCACCCATTAGTTTCCTGTCTCAACTTCTTGTTACTGTTAGCCATGCCTATAAACATCTTTGGGACTTTATTCCATCTTCTCGTCCCCACTGAATCAAGCAATTATCTGGCAGAGTGAACAGAATCAGGCCAGTAAGAAATAGTTAACTGTCAGGGGCAACGAGGTAGCACACTGGATAAAGCACTGCCCTGGAGTCAGGAGGATCTAAGTTCAAATGCCGTCTCAGACACTTTACACTTATTAGCTGTGTGACCCTGGGCAAGTCATTTAACCCCAATTACCTCACCAAAAAACAAAACAGAAATAGAAAACTGTCTATTCTCTCTGTTGTCAGTTATTGTTCCATCCACCCCAGCAAAAAGTCCTTATAGAATATTTGTCCATGTAGAATATGTGATGTGGGCTTGATAGTAGCTAGAACCAAAAAAGGAAGCAGGTCTCTCAAATATTTTTAGAAACCATGTGTGGATTATAATGAATGAAGGTTAGCTAGATGGTGCAGTGGATAGAGTGCTGGAACTGGAGTCACAAAGACTCCTTTTTGTTACAAGTTCAAATCTGGTCTCAGATGCTTAGTAGCTGTGTGACCCTTGCCAAGTCACTTAACTCTATTTGCCTCAGTTACTTCATATATGAAATGAGTTGGAGAAGGAAATGGCAAACCACTACACTATCTTTGCCAAGAAAACTCCAAATGAGGGGCAGCTAGGTGGCTCAGTGAATAGACCACCAGCCCTGAAGTCAGGAGGACCCGAGTTCAAATCCAGCCTCAGACTAAACACTTGACACTTACTAGCTGTGTGACCCTGGGCAAATCACTTAACCCCAACTGCTTGAAAAAAAATAATATAACTCCAAATGGTCTCATGAAGAATCTGAAATGACTCAACAACAAAAATAATGAATGGGCATAACATAGTACATATAATTTTGTTTTATTATTTGCCTTTCTCAAATTGATCCAAGTAAAATTATATCTCTCAGGACTGTTGCAGTCTTTCTTCCTTAATTTCTCATCCATTCAAGTTAGTATGTTTATTTTTTTCCTTGAAAAGAAAAAATGAAACCTCCAGAAATGTTAGTTTTCCGGAGAGTAAGAAAGTATACATTTCAATGCTAGCTAAAACAAATGAAAATGTTTAAACAAAAAATGTTTACAGTTGCAGATATGCAACTACACCTCCTATGCACATACAAATAGATAATCCACATAAAATATAATAGATTTTTTTAATATTAGAGATGACCAATATTTAGTAGGGTATGTACTTCTGAACTCATATAGTAGTGTTGATTACATTTGCATTGATCTAGCCACATACTTTTTTGCTCACTTTCCCTTGAATTCAGTTACAAAAAATGTTTGCCTCTGATAAGCAGGTTGTGGATAGGACAGAAGAAAGTTAACTGTCCTTCACATAGGGAGTGAATCTAAAGAACCCATAAACTTGGCCTCATTACTACTCTTTTAACTAAGGCAACTGGTTATGAACACACACACACACACACACACACACACACACAAACTCTTAAACACTGCTTTTCCCTCTTAAAAAATGGACACAGAGAAACTCATATATACTTTTAAACATGTAATACAAGTGCAGATAAATACAACACTGATATCCTTTAAAAGGAAAATAGTATACCGTCGTTCTCCCCAAGAGGGTCCCCCTAACTTTAATGGTGGGCTTTTAGCCACTATCCAGAGAGTAGCACAAATACCTATACTATATATACCATACTATAGGATCCTCTAGTTCACACTATGAAATATTGGAAGAGCCCTGGAGATTCTAGGACTACCTTGACATTAAAAAATTCAGACCAGGGGCAGCTAGGTGGCACAGTGGATAGAGCACCGGCCCTGGAGTCAGGAGGACCTGAGTTCAAATACGGCCTCAGACACACAACACTTACTAGCTGTGTGACCCTGGGTAAGTCACTTAACCCCGATTGCCTCACAAAAAAAAAAAAGCCAGACCAGAAGATCCTGTGGTGCTTGTCCGTGAAATAAGGGTATACACCAAAAGCACTGGTTAGCCTACTTGCATCCAATAGTACTAGTATGGTGATTATGGAGTGCCTTTCTTGCCCATAACTGGTTGGCACACAGAGGCATGTTATATATTAGTCATGGCAAAAACTTTAAATGGCATAGAAAAATTCATCTTACATTCAATCAATATATCTAAAACAAACTATATGTTTTTTTTAAAATAAGTTTTTATTGACATCTTCTATTTCTTACATCATCAGTTAACTAAAGTATCCCCATCAAAATCAATGGGTATTGTTTTAAAAATAGAGGATAGATCAATGGAACAGACTAGGCAAGGGAGAATCAGAAACTATGGAAATCAATAACCCAGTGTTTGATAAAGTGGAAAACAAATTACCAACAAAAAATTTCCTTAGTTATAAAAAACTGCTGGGAAAACTGGAAAGCAGTCTGTCAGAAATTGGGCTTAGATCAACACCTTATACCATATTCTATAATATATTCTAAACTTCCATCTTCCAGGGAGTCACCCCTTATAAGAAATATTTTTAAAGAGAAAAAAAATCAACACAGCTGGTTGATACACAGAAAAAAGTTTGAAAACATAAAATATGTAAGACGTGTGGTCTCTCACCTCCACAAAGCACTAAGTTGGGGGTATACTCTCATTACTCCACATTTGAATCCTGCTTGATCTGTGTAATTTTGTTACATTTTCTTTTGATTTTCTGGCATGTCATTGTTCTTTCCATTTACATCGTTGTCATTATTGTGTATATTGTTATATTGACTCAGCTTATTTCTCTCTGCATCTCTTGATGAAGATCTTCCCATGCTTCTCTGTATCACATGCATTTCTTACAGCATAGTAATATTCCATAATATTCATGTACCACGATTTGTTTTGCCATGCCCCAATTAGCAGGTATGTACTTATGTGTCCAACTCTTTGCTATCACAAAAAAAAGTGCTGCTATAAATATTTTGGTGTGTATAGGGACTTACTTTTTAATGGCTTCCTTAGGATTTAAA